AAGGCCCAATGGAAGATGCTGAGGAGATTTATTCTGGGCACAGACCGAACATGCCGCTACATATGAGGCGATGTCAGAATGGAGAGATGGCCACCAGAATAACTGAGAAACGACCCAGGACAACTGGTTTCCTACCAGGATGACCGGCAGTCTTGGAATTATGGTAGGTATGCAGCAAGCGAAACATCTTCAGCCGGTCTCTCAAGGGTAGCGTTAGTTTGAGCCACCAAAATCTGCTCCCCAAGGGGAGAAGTCAGGTTGGTACAAATGGCAGCCAGGGTATGGTTTGGAGGAATAACCAAGGTTGGCTCAGTGTCCTCCCTGGACAGCTCAGAGTATTGCCGCGACAAGGCATCAGCCCTGACATTCTTGAAGCCAGGCAAATAGGAGACCACATAGTTTAAACGCAACAAGAACAGAGCCCATCTGGCCTGACGGGGCATCAACTTCTTAGCCTCCGAGAGATACGTCAGGTTCTTGTGGTCAGTGAGAATGAGAACCGGAACCACAGAACCCTCAAGCAGGTGCCTCCATTCCTTGAGAGCCAGAATAATGGCCAACAACTCCCTGTCTCCAATCTGGTAGTTGCACTCTGTGGAGGAAAGCTTCCTGGAGTAGAACCCACAAGGAAGTAGGGGTCCCTCGGGTGACCGACGCTGAGACAAGAGGGTGCCTGCTCCCGTCTCAGATGCATCAACCTCAAGGACAAAAGGCAACCCAGGATTGGGATGAGAGACAGAATCGAAGCCGAAGTGAAGGCGGATTTTAGAGCCTCGAAAGCTGAGATGGCCTCGGGTGGCCACTCCTGAGGATTACTGCCCTTCTTGGTCAGATCTGAGAGGCTTGGCCAGCGTGGAGAAGTTCCTGATAAACTTCCGATAAGAGTTGGCGAATCCCAAAAAGTGCTGAATGGACCGAAGACCACTGGGACGAGGCCACGGCAGAATCGCCGAAACCTTCTCAGGGTCCATGGAAAAAAGCCACCGCGGAAATGATGTAGCCCAAAAAGGCAACCTGGGATCAGTGAAATTCACACTTCTCGAGCTTACAGAAGAGCTCGTTCTCACGCAACCGTTGCAGCACCCACTTGACATCCTGGATGTGGGACTCCATAGACGCAGAGTAAACCAGGATGTCGTCCAATTAAACCACCACAGACTGCTGCAACAAGTCACAAAAGACATCATTAATAAACTGAAAGACCGTGGGTGCGTTACACAACCCGAAGGGCATAACCAGGTATTCATAGTGGCCGGTTCTGATGTTGAACGCGGTCTTCCACTCGTCACCCTCCTTGATTCGTACGAGGTTGTAGGCAGCTCTAAGGTCGAGTTTGTAAAGACCGTTGCTCCCTTGAGGCGGTCAAACAACTCGGCAATCAACGGAATAGGGTAAGCATTTTTAATCGTGATTCGATTGAGACCCCTAAAATCAATGCAAGGTCTCAACTCACCGCCCTTCTTTTTCACGAAAAAAAAAACCCAGCTCCTGCTGGAGAAGTAGACTTGCGAATGTGCCCCCGGGAAAGCGCATTCGCAACGTACTCCTCCATGGCCTGATTCTCTGCCACCAAAAGAGGATACACCCTGCCACGAGGCGGAGTGGCACCGGGTTGTAAGGTTATGGCGCAATCGTATGGACGATGAGGAGGCAGAGCACCGGCACGCACCTTGTCAAACATGTCCAGGTACTCCCCATATTCAGTGGGCAACACAGAGTCCGAGGAGGTGCACAACACCTTAACCGGACCACGGATGCAACCGGCCCCACACTGTGGTGACCATGAGAGAATCTCGGCCGATCGCCAATCAAACGTCGGATTGTTCTTCTGAAGCCAGGGATAGCCCAAAACCATGGAGTAGTGAGGAGAAGCAATTACCTGGAAACAGGCCAACTCCCTGTGAACAGCCCCAATAGCTACTTCTACTGGCAGGGTCTCGTGGGTAACCTGCGACGGTTGCAAGGGCCTGCCATCTATCGCCTCGAGGACCAATGGAGTAACTCGAGCCTGCAGAGGAATGGAGTACTGGGCAGCAAACGAACTGTCCATAAACAACCCGCCAGCCCCAGAGTCTACCAACGCCTGGGCCGTCACTGAGCCTCCTGCCCAAGAGAGGACAACAGTGATTAGCGGTTTATCTTTACGGGAAACCGGGGATGAGGAAACTCCACCCAAGATCTACCCCCGACAGGATCTCAGGTGCGGGCGTTTCCCGGACGGACCAGACAGGACTGCTGAAAATGCCCCCCGAGACCACAGTACAGGCAGTGACCCTCCCGACGCCGAGAGGCCCGCTCCCCCTCGGAAAGGTGAGAAAATCCCAGCTGCATGGGCTCACTACCAGACAAGCCATCCCCAGGAGGCATGGGAGGAGAGGGAGGCAAGGGTGGGACAGAAAATGTAGGCGTCAAACGGTTAGTAGACCTCCGCAGATGCTCCTTAAATGAAGGCCTCTCTCAGAGCCTGGTGTCAATCAAGATTAGGAAGGAGATGAGTGCCTCTAGCTCCACAGGCAGTTCTTTGGCTGCCATCTCGTCCTTCAACGCATCTGAGAGACCATGAGAGAAAGCAGCCACCAGAGCCTCATTGTTCCAACCCACCTCTGCCACCAGGGTACAAAATTTGATGGCGTATTCGGCAACGGTTCGTGAACCCTGATGTATGGACATGAGCAGCTTGGCAGCAGAAGCGGAGCGAGCAGGCACGTCGAATACCGTACGGAAGGAGGCAACGAAACGGGTAACTCGTGAATCACCGGGTCATTCCTCTCCCATAAGGGATTAGCCCAGGCCAAGGCCCTATCAGAGAGTAGCGACATTAGGAAGCCCACCTTTGCCCTCTCAGTAGGTAAAGTGTGGGGTATTAACTCAAAGTAAATGCCCACTTGGTTAAGGAAACCACGACACTGACTCGGTTCACCCCCAAAGCGCTGTGGAAGAGGGGCAGAACCAGTCATACCTCTGGGTACCACGGGTTCAGCAACAGCTGCGGAGGTAGACGCAACAACCGGAGCAACAGTGGGAGCGTCCACCGGAGAGTGACAACCGACCTAATAACCCCAGGGGTAAGGTGCGCTGTGCGTGCAAGCAGAGCCTGCAACGCCTGAGCGAACTGATCCAACAAGCGATCTTGCTGGTCAAGTCTGGTGAGTAATATGGGGATCGAAGGCGTACCTGCAGCATCAGGATTCATGGCATTCGTGTAATGTCAGGGCAGGAACGATGGAATGGGCAGGCAGGACTATGGTAAGGTCACGCAGTGACTGACAACAGCCACTACCCACAGACCAGAGTCCCTCAGGGCGCGGAGTCTAAGCCCCAGGCTACCCTTCACCAGAGCCCCTGATGGTGGGGATGGACTTGACGCAGCCTGAGACCAGGTCGTGGCCCCTGAGTAACCCCAGCTGCGGTAACAACTGCTGCCAATGGCGTACAGCTGGTGGGAGCTAGATGGGAACACGTGTAGCGTAGTCAGACAGGCTGGGTCAATAACAACGGAGCAGACAGTACTAGACGGTAGGCAAAGAATACTCAGGTCACGGGCCGGGTTCAGCAACGGGAGGTCAGGTAAAGGGTTAAAGCAGCGAATAGTCTTGTCCAAGCCGAGTCGGTTACCAGGAGAGCAACGAGAACAGAAAAAGAGCTTGCGACAAGGGAACATACAGGACACGAATGCAGAGAGCACCTGCAGACAACAAGCTTAAATGTGATCAACCACACCCTTCTGAGGAGGAGCCGCAGAAGCCTGAAGGCATAAAGGTTCCCACCATGCTTTGCAGAAACCTAAGATGGACGCCAGCACATGGAGATGCACAAGCTCTGAGGAAAGGTAGGACCTTGACAATAAGCAACCTCTGCAGGAAATAATTGCAGTATTATTTTTTTTACGGCAGTTGTTTCCACTAGATTAAAGACAGTTCTTCACAGTGGGTGGCTCAGAAGAAAGGGAACAATGCAAGGGTGACAAGATTTATGGCTCTGCAAGACCTTACATTTTATGCAGAACACAGGTCAGGGATTCAGCTAGAGAATGCAGGTCCACTGTATGTTGGCAAAATGTGCTCCTTCCCATAGATCTAGAGCAGAGGGTGAGGGTATGTGTAGCCTAGGTTTCCTACATACACATGGTGAGGGGCTCCCTGTTTTATCGTGGAAGTGGAGAAAACAAACTTTGTTTTCTCTGAATCGTATTATGTTCTGTTTAGGTCCTGGAGCCCAGAGGCTTTGTAGAGCTCTAGGTGGGTGAATGTCCCCATTCCTAGGTCCAAATATTACCTGGTACCTCATTATTAGTCTCAGCTGTCTGCAGGTCTTTATATATGCAAGGTCACTGATGCTCAGGGCACTTTTTTGCTCTTTCTGCTTTGGCCTGTTGTTCGGTGAAAAGGTTGAGTGCCAGCAAAACACATAAAAGGTACAAGTGCTGCTTGCTTGTACTAGGCAACCCATTAGGGGAGCACCCTGTTAGTCAGAAAACCGAGCTTGGATAATGTTTTAGTTTGTTTGTTGCTATGGACATACTGTACAAAGCTCTCCTGTATTGGAAACTGTCTTTGTTTGCTGATTTGCTGAATATAATTGCAGGACAAACCAGTTCTGAAGTCTCCTTGTCTTGTGGATGGTTTCAAAATGACCTTTAATGCTGTATATATACTGTAGACATACAATATATAGAGCAATAGTATTAAAACTTTGAGTTTCTTTTTCTGTAATCAAAGCACCTGTACTTGTAGACCTTCATCTGAAAATGGCTTTGTTGTCATACTGATATCCTAAATTCAGTATTTTCTAAGTTACACCTGTGTTCTTAGAAGGAACCATTTTAAACAAGGCCCGATTTACCAGTAGGCCTGAGCTATAGGTAGTGGCATATATATTCCTTGTATAGTTATGGGCAATACATTTCTTTCCCATCATCAGTGAAAACTCTTCTCATGTACGTTTTTTTACACATTGACACAATATTCATTACCAGGTTAGGATCAGTATAAAAGTAATTCTATCAGAGTGATGCTTTTAGCACTGGAGGCTGCATATCTACTAGTTTCAGTGATGGAAATTCGGTCATGAAAGTGTACCTGAATGCAAAAAGTGAAGACCTGATCAGGGGCGGACTGACAACTCATGGGGCAATAGGGTATCATAAGGCCCCTGTGTCCTTGCCCAAACTCAAAAAAGCCTATGAAAAAGGTACCAGGGGCATCTCATGGGGCCCCCTACTGACCCTGGGCCCTCGGGCAGTGCCCGAGTTTCCAAATGGTCAGTTCCCCCCTGGACCTGATATCAAAAGCTTGTAAAAGAAAAGCATCGGTCAGATGCCACTGTGCGATGAACTGGCCAGGTAAAATAAACTGCTGCCAGGTGCTGATCTGTTACTAGAACATTTCTGACTCAATAGTGGAACTCCAAATGAAACTGATCAAATTGCCTTTTACTGGCAGAGTGGTCTTTTGACACTGGCCAACAAATGCAACTGCATGTGGCAAAATGCTGTTATTAAAAGTTAATGAAAAAACGATAATTTTATTTCGAAGTTCATGTTATTCACAGTGCTGAAAAGTACACTTGTCACCATATTAGCCTCAACTCTCATAAATATAACACAACATATACATTTTCATTCCTGTGTCTGTTAATCTTCTTTTTTTTCAATTCACTAATGTTGAACACATGGATCTGCTGAATTTAATTCATGCATTTGTGCAGTCTTAAAATGTGTGTGCATGTATAATGTATTGCACAGGTTTTGCTAACAAAAATAGCACTACCTTCTGAATGGTGTTCGCAGTGACATTCTATGAGGCGCATTGTAGGGAGTAGAAGTAGGGAAGGGTTAAAACCTTCTATTAGGTTATTTTTTTGCTGCCTGTGTCCTGCTAGGGAGAACTCCCTGCACTTCCTATCCAGGAGACCCAGGAAATCTCTAAAAAAAAAAAAATAATAATAAAAATACAATTTTAAATGTTCTTGGAAACCTGCCATAGGAATAATGGAGGATTTCCTCTCATCTCTTGCTCTAGTGACAAATGAAAAATGTTGCTATTGTCCATAATATAAACAGGGAATCTATACAGAGAGGGTGAATCTCCCCAGTAGGAGCACAAAGCATACAGAATTGAGAAAAGGGTCTAACCCTTCCATACTCTATTCAAGTTAAAAAAAGATTGTCACATACATTGTACCATTTCCAATGACCTATCATGTGAACACAATACCTTCATAATCTGCCCCTTCATCTGTTTCAAACAAAGTTTTGTATATATTTAATTAAATGCTGGTGTCTTTTGACTATTTCTTCTAGATCTTTGCAGTAACCCACAAAAAAAATTTCTACACTGGAGTAGATTTACTAAAACTGGTGCACTCAGAACCAGAGGCGTTCCTAGGGTAGGGGTCACCCGGTGCGGTAACATTTGGTGACACCCCCTCCAACGATCCCCGCAGAATGGATCGGATCTGCGGATTGAGCATAATGGATTGGACGCCGATCCATTATGCTCAATCCGCAGATCCGATGCATCATGTGGGGATCGTTGGCTTTCTTTACAACTTAGCTTTTCTTGGAGCGGGTCTGATGTCACCAAGTATAGGTTGCATGCCGACGAGGATCGTCGGCATGCAACCTATACGGGGTGACACCGGACCTGGTCTAAGAAAAGGTAAGTTGTAAAGAAAGCCAACGATCCCCGCGGGATGGATCGGATCCATCCTGTGGGGATCGTCGGCTTGCTTTACAACTTACCTTTTTGTGGAGTGGGTCCGGTGTCACCGGTGTCACCTGTGCGGACGGCACCCCCTGCACCTGCCTCGGGACACCACTGCTCAGAACAAGGTGCAGCTGTGCATGGTAGCCAATCAGCTTCTAACTTCAACTTGTTCAATTAAGCGTTGACAATAGAAACTGGTCACTGCTGCTCTCCCTCCTTGAGCAGGGTGACTGGTCTTGTATCCACCGCCTCCTGTGGATTTCCACAGGCATCCCTGCTGAGAACCATCAACAGCTCTTCTCTCTGCACAGGCTATAAGGTTGAATTACTCAAACTAGAGAATGCAAACGTTGGTGCAGCTCTGCATAGAAACCAATCAGCTTCCAGGTTTTATTGTCAAAGCTTAACTGAACAAGCTGAAGTTAGAAGCTGATTGGCTACCATGCACAGCTGCACCAGATTTTGCACTCTCCTGTTTTAGTAAATCAACCCCTGTGTATTGCATACTGTTGATATCACCAATACTACAAGGGCAAACCTACATTTTGTAAAGGAATTCGGTGAACACAAAGTGGGGTTTTAACTGTTATGGCTTTCGAGGAATATATCTAAATTTGTTTTTGTTACAAAAGTAATGCTTGAATTAAAGTGGTTCTAAAGGGTTTTTTTTAAAGAAAAAAATTAACAAACATGTCTTTGCTTACCTGCTGTATGCAGTGATTTTGCACAGAGCAGCCCGGATACTCCTCTTCTCAGGTCCCCCGCTCTCCTGGCCTCTCCCTATGTTCACTTTGATAAGAGTATATCCTTCATAGGATCCTTGCGATCTTAATAAAGATATTTGTTTGCATCCATATTGATGTATTCTGTACTCTGCTTTGGATTTATACATACTGACTTTTTTGCAGTTTGCTCTAGTCAACTGCTTCCTTTTTTGTGACCCCTCCCTCCTGTTGGGTGCCCCCACAGCAAGCAGCTTGCTATGGGGGCACCTGCTGCTCCGTGTCGATTCACACATGGAGCTGTGGTTCGGCCCTGCCCCCTCTCTCTTCTCATTGGATAACTGGCTGTGATTGACAGTGGTGGGAGCCAATGGCTTCAGCTTCTTTCTCAGCCAATGAGAAGAGGGAGTCCTGGGATAGCCGAGACTCCAGTGCACATCGATGGATCGAGAAGGGGCTTAGGTGATTATTAGGGGGGGCTGGGGGGATGCTGCCCACAGAAGGTTTTATACCTTCATGCAAAGAATGCATAAAGGTAAAAAACCTTGAGTCTTTAGAACTACTTTAATTTTACAAAAGGTCAGAAATGAACTGGTTTCCTCTTATATAAATATGCCCAGCAGACTATTAGCACTGGTGTCCACCTATAAAGTTACAGCCATCCCAAGGGGTCATTATATTCTTTCAGCATTAAGATTCTGGAATGAATTTGCCTTCTTTAGGAATGTCTCATCATACATAAACATGATCAACACACTAAACCAAGGGACACACATTGGAAAAGTTTAATAAGTTGATAAATAACATTAGTGACTCTAGTGTGGCATAATAAGGTTCTCTGGGCTAAACTCATTTTGTTTGATTTTCTTTTTGTTTCATACAGAGACAATAAAAACAGAAATTCACACTTATCTCAACACATCCAATCACATTGCAACAAAATATTCATGTAAAAGTGTACAACCTCTTTGATTGTGGGATCGTGGTGGCCATCAAGCATAGCAGCTAAAAATAATAAAACTGGCCCCCAATGAATAGATGTAGGTTGACTCTTGTCTGACATTAAGAACAAAACACACATGTGGAATTGATGCATACTAATAACACAACACTATTCATACAAGCAATGAGAAATGCCACTGACATCAGAATTACCAGATGTCTACTATGCCCTATGCAGCTTTATTTCTATGAGCTGTCTGTTGTCTAAACCAGTACTGTCCTTAGTGCCCCAAGCCCCAGTACTACATCAAACTGTAAGATGCTTTTCATGATACTATGCAGTGCTTAAAGCATCCTTTTAGAAAGAAAAAAAAACCCTCTCCCGCCTTGTGCTTACCCTCCTTTTTCTATAACTATCTTTACCGCTTCTCCCCAACGGCTTCAGTCCTTGCTGTTGCACTGTAAAAACCCCAGTGCTTTTAGATGTGGAGTGTGAGACATGCCACCTGCCCCCCCACAGTGTGGCACTTGGCACCTGAGTGGCCAATTGCCAACCTGGGAAAGGGAGCCTGTGCATTTACTTTCAACACTAGGTATTGTTGACGACTGCTGGTGACCTTGCAGGGGTAGCGAAGGGGGTGTGTATAGGTAAGTAAAGAAAAATCAGGGTGTCTGGAGGGTATGGAGTTTTATTTTCCCAACAGGTTTTCTTTAATTAAAAAAAAAAAACATAATACATGTAGATACTGAGGTTGATTTACTAATAGAGGAGAAGGTTCACTTGGCAAATATTAGCTATGTGTGCTGTGGAGTTTAAAAAAAAATGCACACAACTGGAGGACTGAATACAGATTCACTTTGCAAGTGAACATTCTCTTCTGTAAATCAACCCTTATGTACTGTGTAGACTTGCTTTTACCGCATAGTTGGTGAAATCCAGTCTCAGAGTTAATGGTAAAGTTGGTGGAATCAAACAAATTCTACAGATGTCTCTACAAACTGATAAATAATGTATAAAACAACAGAATAAATTATAAACATATTCCAATGGCATAACGTATGTGTTATTAGATGGGGATTGATGCAGAGAGGAGTCCAGAAGCAGCTGAGGCCTCAGGTAACACTCTTTCCTATTGTGGGCTCCTATCTCCCCATAGTTAGAATCCTATGGACAGTGCAGCTGGAGGGACCCAGCCTCATTACAGTTACTGCTTGAAATGAAAGTGCTGAAAAGGCAGGAAAACACAAGCAAGATGATTTGATCTTTAATTCTGCTCAGCATCACGAAGTCTGCACCCCACAGCAGTGATAAGAGCTGCTCCTTTCCCACTGCCGTCCTCGGAGAGAAGGAAGGAGACATTGCACTTGGGGGCGAGATCTGCCACTGTCTGGTGCATGATTCTGGAGAAAACTGTAAGAAGGAAATATATAGGTAAGAAATGGGAAATACAGGAAGCCTTACCTAAGGAAGTCCACAAAATAGTTCCTGACAAGTACCTTTTAATGTTCTCTTACCAACAAGAATAAGACCAAAAAGATTTAACACAAGAAACAACTTGGAGGTCAGATACTGGAACTAAAGAGCACATCACTAAACAAAATGTTTTCAGGTAAAAAAGTGTTTAAAGACCATGTCAGGAAATTTGCAAATGATCCCTTGTAATGGGGATTTCCCTGTTCATTTAGTCTAGGGAAGAGGAGATGCACTTAGGCTTACCTGATCCCCCCCAGCCCCCAACACTTCCCCACATTCCACCAAGAGACTGTACTTCAGCATTATTACTTCCAATGCAGGGCTATTGGTCAGATCTTTAGACCTCTAGAACATAGGGGAGAAGATGCTGCAGGGACCAGTCTAGCAGTGCGGATGAAACAGGGGAATGGGTAAGTCAATCTACTTGACAAATCACCTAGGCCTAAATGAGCAATTAATCCTTATATTGTAGGCATATCCCAAATGAAAGAGATCATTTTTTTTCATTTCTTGGAGTTGGGCTTTTGCTATGACTGAAAAACATAACAGTGTATTTAGACTGAGCCTATGCTTTGAGGTGCTATACTGCATGCATTTTAACATGCTTTGCAGTAGGCCTGGCCATTCATTTGAATTGGATGTCCAAGAACCACAACATATATTTTAATGGATATGCATCTTTTTTTTTAACAAATGTCATTTTGGTGCACTGAGGTAGCACAGACAGTCATACATTAATGCGTGTTACAGTAACACATGGTAAAGCACACGTTTTACATTGCTTTACTGAATAAGGACTAGATCCATGTCACTGTACAATAATATTGTATCAATACTAGCCTATGCACAAGAAAATGTTTGAAATGATCATCACTTACTGTGGATGAAGTTTATACAGTGTTCCATCAACGCCAACAGTAACCTCCAGATGCTCCAGGCCCCGGTTTTCCCTTATCTTATCCACTACAGCTGCCATCCCAGCACCACATAGCTGTGCCGCCCGTCTCGATACCACTCCACACACCTCTTTAACAATTATACTGTCATCACAGGTGCTGTTCAGACCCAGCTGCTGGAGGATGGATCGCACTTGTAACAGGGCTAGTCTGTCACTGAAAGAAGGATTACATGTTAGATCAACATCTCTTAACTCTACTTATTTATGATCATAGATTAATGGTGACCTGACTATCATAAGATGAAATTCCTACGACAGGCATATGATATCTCCTGAAAGGCATGTCCCAAGCACACAAACAGACCATCTTGGGCCATGAACTGACTCGGCTTCTGATTCAGCACAATACAGGTGTTCAATCTTGTAGATATATAGAATTCTTCTAATAAAGTAACCAAGTTGTTGTAATATTTATAGTCTACTATATAGGTAGGTTTTCTTGGAGAGCCACTATTGTGTTCTCATAACTGTATGTGGTTAGTAAATGTAATGATAGTTTTCAATGTATTAATGCCTTATTTCTATTTCATATGGCTTTTTAAAATGTTTCCAGGTTTATATGTAGAACAAGCTGTCCAGTGATAGGGATTGGAACAACTATAAAACTGCCAGGGGTGCCTACAAAGGTTTACTTTCTGAAGGCCAGATTCACACCTTTGCCTTGCTGTAATGTGTGAAAACACACACATTTCACAGCATGTGACCCCAATGCATGGTGACACATACACTGCAGTGCATTGTGATATTATTCATTTTGAATGCATATACAATGCACAACAATTGATTTGCATGTTAGTGAACCACAACACATAGCTGTGGATGATCTGTGTGTTGTGGTCCGCTAGAAAATAATAAAGTTTGGGTCTGTTAACAAATCTTTTTGTGGTCCATTTGAAGCACATTCAAAATGACTGGGCTACTTTGCTGTAATATGTGACATAATGCACAACTATGTGCCTAACGTAACCCACAGCAAAGGTCTGAATTTGGAAGCGTTATGGTTTTATCCCAATCTCATCACTGCCGACAGCATTGCTTGTGTGGTAATGTGGAGAAATAAATAAAAGGCATGTGGATTTAAAAAAGGTAAGTAATATACTGAATATTATCACTGCACATATTAACTGTATACAGTTATGAGTATACAATGTTTGTCGTGGTAGGAGTTCTTTCATTTATTGTCACAATATATTTTCTGTTTGTTCTTCCTACCATCAGCACAAATGTCTCTAGATACTTCATCAGAAGAATATGAAATGTAGAAATGAGAAATGGGTGAGCATAGTATATTGTATGTGTAAACCCACAACCCCCCCCACCCTTTTTTTGGTGGACAGCTGTAATTTTGGGTTTAATATGCATTACTTTTGTAGGCTAATTTCTTCCTATAGGAGTTCAGTGTGGGTCCTGTCGTATGGCCCCCACACCTGCACATGGGGGATACCCATTTCCTGCATCTCTGGATGACCAACTGGGCACTCTCCACCCTGTCTGATTCAATGTTATTATCTTATGCTGTTTCTGGAGTGAGTACAATCTTCATACAGATTGTCTGTATGTATTAAGTTCTATGATAGATCAAAATAATTATAGATATATTGCAAATGTCCTATGTTCATATATGTTTTCTTTGCATGTTTCATCTGCAGTTAGCAACATTAATCCTTTCGCTGCTAGGTCCATACAGACGTACAGCACTGCTTCCAGCTGGCCAGGTCTGTCCAACCCGGGTGGACCAAACGCTTCTCACATTCCTGCTTGTGCTACAGGCTCATGGTCACTCCAGTGACCATGAACACATAGCACAAATGTTCAGCTGACTCCCCCCTCTCTTCTCATTGGCTCACTGGCTGTGATTAACAGCAGTGGGAGCCAATGGCTCCCGCTTCTGTCTCAGCTAATGAGAAGAGGGAGTCCCGGGATAGCTGAGACCCCAGTGCACATCGCTGGATAAAGAGGGAGTTAGGTGAAAATTAGGGGTGGCTGGGGAAGCTGCTGCACAGAGAAGGTTTTTTACCTTCATGCATGATGCATGAAGGTAAAAAAACATGAGCCTTTAGAACCACTTTAAACTCTCACCAAGCACAACTATAACGTGAAAAAATGCCGCTAAAGGAAGTAATCCAAGAAAATATATAGAATAGTTAATCAAAGTCAAAAAGGTTCAGCAAAAATAACTTACAGAATAACAGACTATAAATGAATATAAATTATTGTTACATATTTTCCTTACCTCTCAATCTGTGAAAGAAATTTGGTTTCAAAGATGCTCGTTGTTTTCAGGGCCTCTGAAATCTGACCTCTAAATAGGAATCCTCTTTTTGTAAAGTCCATTAAAATATTGCGTACAATTTCTCCTAAATACATTCCACTAATCATCTTCTCATACCTAAAATTATAACAATAGAAACAAATGACATTTCGGTACTGTACATGAGAGCTGTCTTGATGAAGGGGTCATTAGATGGCTCCAAAACAATAAACGTGTATATTGGGATTGAACAAAAACTTAATTAGTCATTTTGCTGCCACATGTCCTAAATAAATAGTTTTATTAAATGACAGAAGGACCTTTAAAAAATGATCCAAAAGTATTTATTTTTTTTTTTTTTAAACTCTGTGATGGTGATAAATGGTGCTAAGTCTGTACAATAGCCCTGTGTAGTTAAGCAAAACCACTAATGTGATTTGCATTTAAAATGCATACTTTGTATAAAACTCACAATTTTAAAAATCTGGTATGTCATCTCTTTACACCTTCCTCAATCCTGGGCATTTGGAGGAGGTATCTCAGAAGTGGTGATGTCACTTCTTGTTGGTGTTCATTGTTGCTCACTGAGACTACAAATCACATCATGCCCTGGGATTTAAAGCCTTGTGTGTGAGGAACTGTGGGCATATGTGTGGCAGATCAGTAGTGTGCTACTCACAGGATTCTGACTCAGCATACTTACATCGCTGCAGCCTCTTCTGCTTTCTCTTTCTTTTTGTGCGATACATTGCACATTATCCCCTCGCAAATAAATATGTGGATGTGATGAGGGACCTAAAGATCATTGGCATAACCTGCACGTCATAGGTGTGGATGACCATAACAGGCCAGGAAACTGTAGGTCTGGTTGTGGAAGTGAGGTCATAGGAGGTAGAATAGACCAGGAATCTCCTTGACCATCAAACTAACTATGCAACACAGAGGGCAGATCAAACCAGCAGACACAATTATGTCACAGCTTGCTTTACAAAGAATTTAGAAGATGAAAGAAATTATTTGATATGGAAACACCTGTATATATATATATATATATATATATATATATATACACACCATAACATTTCTTCCTGGAAATTAGATATAATGTGGTCTACAGAGGTTTACAAATGTTATTATAGATAAAGTATAATGTCATTTCTTCAAGTACATAATTTAAGTTATTATTGCAGTGTATACATTGATGTAGTTTTTTTTATTTGATTTTCACATCTTTCTGGAGTTTTCATTAATATAATACTTGGTAAAGCTGCCACATAGGTCCTTTTTCAGATACTTCCTGTTACAGGTCAACAACGCTCTATCCCTTTTTTCCAATTAAGTTCAGGTGTTTTCACCCTCTCACACGGGCTTCCAATAGAGACTTCCTAAAGTGGCCATTTCAACACAAATTATGGAGACATGGTCCACTGTTGTCACCATCTGACACCCCACACTGAGAAATGCCATGCAATCATCACTGTAGTGCATGCATGTAGTCATAAAATGTCTGCAATGAGGCTGCAGTAGATTAGCAGCACTGAGATACAACAACGGATGAAAAAAAGGTAAAAGTCAGTATAACATAAAAATATTAATTGTTAATTATCCAGAATGCTTTCGAAAACTAACTGTCATTGAGTTAGAATCTATGTCTACTTTAATGAACTCTTTGGATTGACAGACATGTTCCTGTCCAATAAATGCTCATGGACAGTGGACTGCAGCACTGTGCTCATCAAAAAAAAGCAGCTGAGATGATAAAATATCAATTACAATTCAGAAACTGCTTTAGGTGTCCTTTTATGACACAGAGAATAGCTGTGATTCAGAGGATCGCAGCTATTCTCTGGTCATTCACAGTTTATATCACTCAGGAGAACATGTTCAGCCCTTCACTGGAGATCTGTGTTCTCCCTCCAGATTCTCCAGCCCAGAGCTGGAGAATCGGAGGGACCGCAAACTAAGCAGAGATAATTTACCTCTGCTTAGTAAACTGATCTTTTACTGTAATCTCGCGAGATTATAGTAAAATCAGCTGTTTTCCAGCGTTTGTAGACCGTTCTCCCTTCGTTTGGAGAACTGATCTACATATGCTTCATAAACGGCATTCACAGGAGAACTGTGTTCTCCGAGAATGCTGGAGAACTGAGCAGCGATCTATTACTGCTGGTTCATAAACGGACACCATAGTCTCTTCTACTCAATACACAATGGGGGAGAGTTACTAAAACTAGAGAACACCGAATCTAGTGCAGCTGTGCATAGTAACCGAATCTAGTGCAGCTGTGCATAGTAACCGAATCTAGTGCAGCTGTGCATAGTAACCGAATCTAGTGCAGCTGTGCATAGTAACCGAATCTAGTGCAGCTGTGCATAGTAACCGAATCTAGTGCAGCTGTGTATAGTAACCGAATCTAGTGCAGCTTGTTCAATTATGCTTTGGCAATAAAACCTGGAAGCTGATAGGTTACTATGCACAGCTGCACCAGATTCTGTGTGCACCAGTTTTAGTACCCCCCCCCCAATAAGCCTAGGCACACTCTTGTGCAGGTTGGAAAAGTTCAGAAAACCTGACCCACAGGCAAAACATGCTGCCATTCATTCTTAGATCAAATACATTTTTTTGTATAAAGAGTTTTAAGGGTACAACCACAGATTAACATACATGGAATGTGGCATATTCAACATAAAGAAATAACCATGCCAAGAATAAGGAAAGGCACACATTTCAGTAACAACCATACAGTGTACAGTAAACATACAGTATATCAACCCTTGCAAAATGGTTATTACATCTCTCTGAAGAGAACAGAATAGGAAGCAAAGAGCAAAGGAGTATACGTAGGTATTAAGAGCCGTACCATTCATTCTTAATGGTACTCCCAAGCATCAGCAAACACATTGCATTTTTGGGTGCGCAAAACCACATGGTGCCTATGTACCATGCGGTTCAATGCTGCCGTGTTTTTAAAAAAAGGTCGGGGACTTCTTTCCCTGCGTTTCTCGCAGGTACAGCAGCCCACTCAAATGAATGGGCTGCTCTGCAAGCACAAACACAGTGACATGACTCTTACGATCTAAATTGATTATTACTGCAGCTATTACATGTATGGTACCTTTAGCCTGTCCTTCTAATAACTGTATGACGCACCTTTGTTTTCCTGAGTTTAGTGAAAGTTCATCAACAGCTTTGTCATATTTTGTTCTAATGTCATCCAGGCACCCATTATGAGTGAGGAGGGGGGGAGAGGGGAGGGGAGGGGGGAGGGGCGAGCGAGGGAGGGAGCTGAAGGGGGGGGGGGTGGCGTGGAGGGGGAGGGTGATGGGTGGTAGAGGGAGAGGGGAAGAAGAGGGGACGTGAGGGGAGGGGTGGCGGGGGGGGGTAGGTGGGGGGAGAGGGGGGGATAGAGGGTGGGAGAGGAGGGGAGAGGGGGAAGGGGGAAAGTGGGGTGAGCAAAAGCTCCCCATTCCATATTGACACACATTCTCCCTTCGTCTCCATCCACCATTTCTATGTTTTTCGTCTCTTCCATGTAGCACGCATTGCTGCCAGTACCTAAAATGCATTAAGATATGCACATTTTATATAAACATACATTAGGGTGATATGTGGAGTACAGTTATCAATGATTGTAATCCAAAGCATATGCCAAAGGATGCCTCACATGGTCAGAAGGCAAAATTTATTTTAAAGCTGAACTCCGAGAAAAGGAAAAGTCCTTCCTTGCAGTGGGGCTACACCTGCACAGCAGGGCTTAGCTGCTAATTTATATCTAGAACTGTGTAAAGAAGTTTTACTTACATGGTCCTCTGTTCCCACAGGCTCCTCTGTGCTGCTAGACTGCTCCCCTCAGCCTCTTTTTCCCCTGCACTCCAGCAGTCTAAAGTCTCTGACATCATCAAGGCTGATGTACATGATGTAAGGATACTGAGGGACAGTCCACTGCAAGAGCATAGGGCAGCATCTGCTGGGGGAGCAGAGGATCAAGGAAGTAAAAGTGTTTTTATTGTCCCCTTGACAATACAAACCACCCCACTCTAAGGGAGGATGTTCACTTTATTGTAGTTGGGCTTTAATGACCTGATGGATAGAATGGGAATGCTGCCATTAATAAAAATGGAGTGAAGACTTACTTTCAGAAAATGACATCACAGATGTAATGTGTTCTGTAGTGCAAAATAGGACATACAGATAAGGACAGAGAACATCAACCTTTTCTGACCCTGGCACAGATTACACAGAGTCAGCTTCGCAGTGCACAGTTTAGCTGTGACCACTGTTCTATATATATATATATATATATATATATATATATATATATAGTCTACAAGTTATGCATATGCTTATTATTAAAGTGGTACTCCAGCCAAAACGTGTTTTTTCAAGTTTTGGATAGCTTGGAAAAGAGTAAGAAGCTCTGTTATCTTTTTTTTTTTTGCTATGCCTTTAGGAGATTCACTCCATTTTGTCACCAGGCCAGAAAGTGAGAAGAAGTGTCACAGTCTTAGCACAGTGGCTAAATGGTTAGCACTTTTGCCTAGCAGTACTAGGGTCGTTGGTTCAAATCCCAACCACATCACCACCTGCCTGGACTTTGCATGTTCTTCCTGTGCCTGCGTGGGTTTCCTCCCACACACCAAAGACATGCTGGTAGGTTAATTGGCTCCTGTCTAAATTGGCCCTATTACAGTATGTGTATGTATTAATGTAAGTTATTGACTTTAGATTGTACGCCCCTTGAGGGTTAGGAACTGATGTGAACGTAAAATATATATATGTAAATTGATTGCGCTATATAAGTACCTGTAATAAATAAATAATAAAATAAATACCGTAGTATTTTTCGCCGTATAAGACGCACTTTTTCTTCCCCAAAACTGGGGGGGAAATGTCAGTGCGTCTTATAAGGCGAATATGGAGCGGCCGGTCCGGTATTTCCACCGCGGCCGTGTCAGAATACCAGGCCGGCCGCTCAGCTCTGCAGCGGGACCTTACCTGTTCCTCTATCCAGCGGCGTGCTGTCTTCCGGGTTCTGTAGTGGCGCTGGGCATGACAGCCGGGTGCCAAGTGCGCATGCGCGAGAAGCGGTGCACTTTGTGAATGGTAAGGCGGTACCTGGGACACATGACAGATCCCAGAAGCAGCCGGACCAATCACAAAGCGCAAGTGCTTCTCGCTCATGCGCACTGGGCACCCGGCTGTCATGCCGAGCGCCATTACAGAAGCCGGGAAGACAGCGCGCGGCTGGATCGAGGAACAGGTAAGATCAAACAAAAACTCTGCGGAAGTAAGAGCGGGTACCTGTCAAATTCAGGTACCCGCTCCCCACCTCCCCAAAGGTCAGCAGTCATCTGTACTGTCCGCAGTCTCTGGTCATCCCTGTGCTGTCCGCAGTCTCTGGTCATCCCTGTGCTGTCCGCAGTCTCTGGTCATCCCTGTGCTGTCCGCAGTCTCTGGTCATCCCTGTGCTGTCCGCAGTCTCTGGTCATCCCTGTGCTGTCCGCAGTCTCTGGTCATCTCCTGTACTGTCCGCAGTCTCTGGTCATCCCTGTGCTGTCCGCAGTCTCTGGTCATCCCTGTGCTGTCCGCAGTCTCTGGTCATCCCTGTGCTGTCCGCAGTTTCTGGTCACCCCTGTGCTGTCCGCAGTCTCTGGTCATCCCTGTGCTGTCCGCAGTCTCTGGTCATCCCTGTGCTGTCCGCAGTCTCTGGTCATCCCTGTGCTGTCCGCAGTCTCTGGTCATCCCTGTGCTGTCCGCAGTCTCTGGTCATCTCCTGTACTGTGTCTGCAGTCCATTAGTTCAGAATTTTTTTTTCCTGTTTTCTGCCTCTAAAACCTAGGTGCGTCTTATGGTCAGGTGCGTCTTATACGGCGAAAAATACGGTAAGTCCAAATTCTCACAGTTTATAAGAAAGGGAAGAAAACGCCACAAAAATTATCGACTCAAAAAAATCAAAACACTAACCCGTAAAAAGCATCTAACACTAAATCCCCATAAGATTACTGGCATAATAATAAAAAAAATAACTCATAATGTACAGTATATAAGCCACATAAGAAATCAGATTTAAAGCATATTCCGATCGTATATATTGCAGCTTACCAATCCTTAGATGTAGAGACTGCATTCATTTTCTCTCTTTTTTTTTTAGGGTTTTTCATTTTTTTTTAATTCAGTAATCCTGCAACTAACATATTTCCTGACCTTTGTGTCTACAATGATTTCTCTACTGTAGATAGGTTTTATGGGTTAGGGTTTTGATTTTTGTGTACTGATAATTTCTAGTATATGGCAATAAACCTTTTGATACTGGAATTTAGCAATGCAGTTATTTTGGTGGGTTCTCTCTCTCTTTTCTTATGGTGTATATATACTGTGGCCACCAGCTAGCACTTCTTGGTGACAAATGTGTATTGTGTTTCTTGAAAGGAAGTAAAGGGAAATCTTTACAATAGGAACCTGACCGATATTTTAACTGTTCTATACCTACATCTGAACATTTGAGGGGGGCCCAGTTACACTTTAAATGATAAGGCCCCTTGCACACGGGCATAATAATTTACTGATGCTTACTCACGAACCTGTGACACCCATGTACAAGGGGTTTAAAACTGTGTGGAAAGACATGACTAATGTTGAGTGTATGCGAGTATAGGCGAGAAAAGGTTTGTAAGCAAATAGGTGAGTATAGACGAGTAAAATTCTTCATCATTGCCAGTATTGTGGCCCCTAGCACATGGGGGTCACAAGTTCCTGAGTAAACATCAGTAAATTATGACGTTCGTGTGCAAGGGTCCTAAACGAGTAAACATGTGAGTAAACTACTGCAGTCAAATGTAAAATTTTCTATTTTTGTTTTACTGCTCTGTACTCAACACTGTATTACTGATCTTTGCTCAGCTGCGTGCAATGTCCAATAGACAAAAATGCATCTCATTTTAGATCAGTAAAATACTCAGCATTTTTTTACTCCCATGTGCAACTGATTTCCCATTATAATTACTAATAATGCAATAGCTATGATGAGTGTAATTTTATGCATTACAAAATACATATCAAAAGTAAAAATAAAGTGAGCGCTAGATGGAAAAGCTGCTATGCGCCAATAAGTACCAAAAAACTTAAAAAGACATATAAAAGAGAAGGGCGCAGCGCTAAAACACAATATGATTAAACCATATACATATAAAATGGTGACAAAGTGCAAAAAACTGTGCATAAGAATGGTGATAGTCCTTTAAACATCATAAATGGTGACTGGCAAAGCGAGTGTCTTCCGGTGATCAGAATGACTGAATCATGCACTCACCAGATGCATAATTCAAATATGCATATAGATGGTATCCCGATATCCATACGCAGTTGTCTCATAAACGGATTTGGTCATCATCTAAGCGCAGCAGTCCATCCAAAGGATCCTCTTATAAATCGTGTGTTGCCACACTAGGACACCCCTCAGCTGTCCCCTAAGAGACTCTGCAAGTTTTTGGACTCTTTTTTGTCACCTTCTCACACAGGCTTCTGATATTGATTACAAGGGGCCGCCTCAAAATGCATTGCACATGAATTTTCCACTGTTGTCACCATCAGCAAACCTCAAATGTGTTTGCTGCTTTTTTCAGTCTATTTACTTCATCCCAGAATCATTTATTTTATTTTCATAGATCGGTTCACAGCAGAAGCGAGCCAGCAGCAGTGTGCGCGCACTTCCTGTGGAACTACAAGGCCCAGGACACTTATTTCTGGTTCTCTGCAGTTTACAGCATATATTTAGAAGATGGTTTCATGTGACAAGCTCCAGCCTGAGTATTGCTGCAACACTCAGGCTGGAGCTTGTCACATGAAACCATCTTCTAAATATATGCTGTAAACTGCAGAGAACCAGAAATAAGTGTCCTGGGCCTTGTAGTTCCACAGGAAGTGCGCGCACACTGCTGCTGGCTCGCTTCTGCTGTGACTAACCGATCTATGAAAATAAAATAAATGATTCTGGGATGAAGTAAATAGACTGAAAAAAGCAGCAAACACATTTGAGGTTTGCTGATGGTGACAACAGTGGAAAATTCATGTGCAATGCATTTTGAGGCGGCCCCTTGTAATCAATATCAGAAGCCTGTGTGAGAAGGTGACAAAAAAGAGTCCAAAAACTTGCAGAGTCTCTTAGGGGACAGCTGAGGGGTGTCCTAGTGTGGCAACACACGATTTATAAGAGGATCCTTTGGATGGACTGCTGCGCTTAGATGATGACCAAATCCGTTTATGAGACAACTGCGTATGGATATCGGGATACCATCTATATGCATATTTGAATTATGCATCTGGTGAGTGCATGATTCAGTCATTCTGATCACCGGAAGACACTCGCTTTGCCAGTCACCATTTATGATGTTTAAAGGACTATCACCATTCTTATGCACAGTTTTTTGCACTTTGTCACCATTTTATATGTATATGGTTTAATCATATTGTGTTTTAGCGCTGCGCCCTTCTCTTTTATATTACAAAATACATACTTTTATTCTTTGATGAACTTACCCACAATAAGACCGATTTCACAGTTTGGATCTTCATAAGCGCAAGTCATCATTGTTCCAACTGTATCATTTACTATGGCAACTACATCCAAGTCAAATTCCTTAAAGGGAGGAGTATAATATAGTTAATCATTTTTCAATGAAGCTTGCGTACATCTGCAGTTTACACTGTGCACTGAATATGATGAATTCCTTTAAAATGACAGTTTTATACTGGTCTGCTATCCCCCTGGGTGCCTTTCCTTGGGTGAGCCTATTCTTATTCTCCCACCCCTTCATCCACCCCCCCCCCCCCTTTTTTTTTTCCTGGCACTAGACTGGATAGGATTATAAGGCAATGGATATTGCTAGTACACCCCGTCCTTTTTCCCCCTGGGCTGGTCTCTGTTGTCATGTATGGTGAAGCATTCACACAGTTTTACTATTACTTTGTTGCTCTCCTTGCCTTTGCTATCTGTACCCTCTTGGGGCCTAGATTAGCCTATATAAAATCTAATTTATAGTCATGGGTTCTGTACTTGCTGTCAATCAGTGCTGTCATCTAGCCCCGGAGGCTGTTGTTTACCATTGCTTATTATTGTTTATTTATTTATCTGTCCCCCCTTTTTTTTTGTGTGTTATTTATTATTTCTTCTCCCCCCCCTCTTTTTTATTGTGTTCCCCCTTTTTTACTTTTTTCCCCCTAACCCTAATTCTGAATTTTCTGTTTTGTATTTTATTATTGTTAATGTCTATGTAGATTACGTTTACCTTTTTCTGTTAAATTTTATAAAACCTCAATAAACTCAGATTGGTCAGACAGTTTTAGAGTTGATTGCTGTACAATGCCCATGTCACCTGTTTTTATATAGAGCATTGCCAAGGATTTTGCTAATATCAATCATCCTTACAAATAAATTGCACTAAAAAGCTTGGGAATAGCATGTCATCATATTACTACATCCCTCATTAGTCACTGCCACAAGGGAGCCAGTGGCAGCCTTTAATGCCTCTCACTGCATGGTACATTCAGCAGGGGTTCTAGGTTGTATAGCAAACTTGCAAGATTTTTCATTTAAAAAAAAAAACACAAATCTTAGTCTCTTTTATATTGTCCTTGCAGCAACTGCCACTGAAGTTCACTGCTTCTCTTGACCCAGCAGCCCAGGCGTAACACGTATATACACTGCTAGGTTTTTAAAGAGCTAAACTACTACCCACCAGGGCAACAGTGCCATTGTACAACTACCAATAGCATGTCATCTAAATGTAGTAATACTGTGTTGGAAGTATGATCCCATGTTTTCAAGGGAATACATTGTTATGATATTCATTGTTTCTACTTTGTTATGCTGGTGCTATGATTTGAAAGAGAAGTCTAAAGAGTAGGAGATCCCTTTTCTTTTCCTTATTTCATCCACTGTAAAAAAAATCTGCAATGATCTTGACTCCCTCCGTTCCTGAAAAATGTGGGAGGTACAGTTACTAAATGATGGTAATGTGTCACAGGTACTCTAGTATGTATTGCATTATAAATATTTATTATATACTATGTTTGTAAAGACTGACAACAGTGACAGATAAATCTCAGCTCAGTTGGCAGCTGAACCATAATTACAACTAAGGCTATTGAAGGCACCTATGAATTCTGTGACAGATGAACCATTACAAGGTAAGTACAGCTAGTGTGTTGTAATGTGGAACCCCTGAAAATGCTGACAAGCCTTTTTCAGGTACTCAGATCTATGTACAAACATAACACACACACACACAACATCTCAAAGATGCTTAAAAGTAGTATGATTTTGGAGTCTAACTCCAGGCAAAACTTTTCTTTTAGTCAGAACTTTCAGGTTTTTATTGCGGTCTACATCTACACCAAGGAGATTTCCCTTTGTTCCTGTCTGAGAGACACCAGGACAAGAAATGAGAGTAAGCAGGTGTCACCAGATAAGAAAAACCATCAAACCTGAACGAATGTTGTAACCCTTCCCCACTCTACAAAATAACTCTGCTCTTTTATCTGTTTCTGTCCCCATCTGGGAGACATCTCATCGATTCCTGCCCTGGTGACACCTTGTCAGCTGGACAGGAAGTGAGGGTAGATCTCCCCTATGGAAACAAAAACAGCAAAAAAATAAAAAAAATAAACTCAAATGTTCTAACCCTTACCTACTATGTTTACAACTAATAGAAAATTTTGGCTTGAGTTGGGCTTTAAAATGAGTGTAATCCTTTGCTTCATTCTATATACAACATTGTTTATTTTTTTAAGCAATAGCGCTCAACGAGTCACATAACTCTGCTACTTCACATTAAAGTTGTTAGTAAATGGCTTATCATTAAGTGCATGTATGCTGTAATCACAGTAAACTGCACAAAGCACTGCGGTGACATTTTTATACTGCATCAGGCTCTCATTACTTGTGCTCCAGTTGTCTTGATGTGGCAGATGCAATACAGTCCCACATACCTCTCTCCTCTTGATCCCTTCTCTTAGTAAGCTCACTACATCCTCACCCTCACAGTCGGTTGCCTTGAAGCCTTTGGTCCAGGTTAGCAGGATACCCTGTGGAGTTATGAATCAAATCCCAAGACATTATTATTATCATTGTACAGGATTTTTATAGTGCCAACAGTTTGCTCAGCATTTTACAATATAACGGGAGACAATACAGTTCAATACAAGAGGGTCAGGAGGGCCCTGCTCCTTGGAGCTTACAATCTAAGAGGGAGGGGCTAGTGGTACAAAAGGTAATAACTGTGGGGGATGGACTGGTAGGAGGAATAGAAGATTCTGTTATTAGCCGAGGGCAGGATAGGCTTCCCTGAAGAGATAGGTTTTCAGAGATCGCCTAAAAGTGAGCAGAGTAGGCGATAGTCTGATAAATTGGGGTAGAGAGTTCCAGAGGATGGGGGACGCTCTGGAGAAGTCCTGGAGATGAGCATGGGAGGAGGAGACAAGGGAGCTAGAGAGTAGGAGGTCATGTGAGGAGCAGAGAGTACGGTTTGGGTGATATTTGGAGACAAGATTGGTGATGTAATTTGGGGCAGAGCTATAAATGGCTTTATATGCTATTGTTAATGTTTCAAATTTATTAAACTCAGGTCAATGGCAAATAAAGCTCATTTTATAAAATATGGAGATAAGCAAGAGGTGTCAGACAGGAGAGTCAGTAAATGTATCAATATGGAAATAAGCTATTTACTGTTTCCGCTGGAAATCTGAGCACTATATATTTGCTCTAATATTTGCAAGTAAAGAAAGGAAAAGCCACACAAGCCTAGTACCACAAAACAATATCCCTTTTTAAATGGTGATCACTGAAATTCAGGCATAATTGTAAGCATACATATGTAGGTGTACTCAAAATACACAATGAATTATGTCTAATGTAGCAAAAGAAAAAACCCACTGAATTCTGTTCAGCCAGTTTTTAGTCCAGACCCCCCTTATTAGGTACCATAGACATGTCTGACCATTTGCTCTTTTCTGAAGTCAAATCAATAGACCTTGCTCAAGGCTGTGATTGGATAGTGAAGAAGAAGCAACTCACTGACCAGGTCATCTATTTGTTCTCTCCTCCAGTCAGCCAGTTCTATTTGTTACAGATAAAACAAACAGAGGGCACACCGGCCTAGTGCATTACCTTAAAAAGCATTTATTGAAAAGAAAAACAGTAGGTATTGTACTCACAGATGACAATAATGTCAAAAGCACACATGAAAGAACAGCGCTGTCCAATCCACATTAAGTAACTGTCCACAGTGGGAACCCTGGACTTCCAGCAGGCAAACACATTTCGAGGACTTGCCTCTTCCTCGGAGCCAACCAGGAAGAGGCAAGTCCTTGAAATACGTTCGATGGATGTCCAGGGTTCCCATTGCAGACAGTTACTTAGTGTGGATTAGGCAGTGCTTTTCTTTCATGATGTGCCTTTGACATTATTGTCATCTGTGAGTACAATACCTACTGTTATTCTTTTATATAAATGCTTTTTAAGGTAATGCACTAGGCCGGTGCGCCCTCAGCTTGTTTTCTTTGTATCCAGTGCATTTTTGACTTCCTCGATCCTTTGAGGGCAGCAAGGCGTGCATGTTCTAGGACATCCGAGATGTGGTTATAGCCTACGTTGAGTCCATCACCAAGCGCAGCAGTATTTGGGTTTGCCATGTTCGAAGTTCTATTTGTTAGCTCTACAGTATCTTGCAGTGCAGCAAAGCCTGACTGCCTAATAGTACCAACCTTCTCTTTTCCAGTCTTAACACTGAAGTAAAAGGAGATTACAAACTAGAGCAAAGGCAAAATGAGGAAGTGCTTTTAATGACTACATAATCAGACAAAATGGAGGGCTTTAATACCTGTCTGTACTTCACACATATGCATTGCGTGTTACCATGACGCACGGAAGGCATTAATGCCTTACTAAACCGTTCAATGTTAGGGGACGCACATTTGTTGCAGCACACAACGCAATAATGCACTACCATGTGTTATGATTCACTGCTAGATGTTGCATGTCCATTCTGGTGCACTGGCAGCTCATCCAACTGAAAGGGCAACCTTAATGTAGTGCACGTTTTTTTTTTTTTTTTTTTAATTTAAATATTTATTTTCCGTATAAAAAAATACATATTTCATCATTTCTCTCATATAACATACAAAACCTTCAGTTATATTTAAACCCTTAATTATATCCCTTTCTATCATTATTCCCATTCTATCTTTATTCTCCTTACACCCCCCCCCCCCACCCACCCTGAAGAAAAAAAAAAAAAAAAACAGCCCCCCCCCCTACAAGTAAAACCCACACACTCTGCATTTCTCATTACGTCTTTTCCTAAGTAATATGTACTGTCACCTATCCCATTCTACTACTTCATGTATTTCACCTTGGACATAAAATCTTCCCATTTTCCCCACCTCTTGTAATATAACCCCATCTTGTCTTCTTGCATATAGTACAATTTCTCCATCCTACATATCTGGTTCACTCTTTCCACCCAATCCTCTTCTCTCGGCACCTCTTAACTATGCCAAAACTTAGGTATCAAACCCTTTACCGCATTCAGATAGTACCAGATCCTAGAATCCTTGTAGTTATTCACTGATAGCTCAGTACTATGTAGTAGACACACCTCTGGGTCCAATCCTATCATTGTCCCAGAGATTATCCCAATCAAATAAACCATTATCTCCCAGAAACCTTGGATCTTTGGGCACTCCCACCATATATGATATAACGTGCCTATCTTTCCACACCCCCACCAACACTTCGGTGTATTCTCCCCACTCATCTTGTATTTAACGTTCGGTGCAATGTGCCATCTTGTTAAACACTTATAATTTACCTCCACCTCTCTCATGCTTATATTCTCGTGTGTTAATCTATATATTTTCCTTTGTTTGTCTTCATCTGTCTCTATTCCCAAATCCCTTTCCCATTTTACTATATGTACATTGGCTTTGTGTGTGTATCTAACTCAGTGAGAATCTTATAAATAATGTAGTGCATGTTAATACACGTCATAACACTCATTAATTCAACGCACCGAAACAGAAAGGTGCAAATGGATCTGAACAATTTGGAGTGCAAACTTTCTACTGTACATCCACCGCAGGCTTCATAAGAGTCATCTTCCCAGCATATGTATAAAATGTTACCTATCTGGTCTAAGTTTTCTGAAGCAACATTACGGAGTAGTTATTACATCATGAAATATCATGTGTCTCTCCATTCATCTGGGAACTTCACATGCACCCTGTAATCTGAAGATCTCTCTCCTGCTCCCTCCTATTTCTAAACATATAGACAATACATTAATTTAAAGGGAATCTTTCAAGATACTACTGGAGCTGCCATTATTGATTTGTTTTTGAAAGAACAAACACAGCCCCCATTTGAGGTCAGAAGAAAGGATGTTTAACCTTTATTTTGTAACTATGTGACTCTAGTGTTGTCATCCTTTTTTATTTCCCTACTTAATTAGTCACTGAACTGTGAAGCAAGAATAAATAACAGCACTGTAGCCTTCATCTAAGTAAGCAACTAAGTAATGAATACCAGCTCCAATATTTGTATGGTGTATTTTAATTCCCAGTAATAAAGTAGAGTAGTAAAGGCAACATATGATTTCCAGGTAGAAACCTCCACATCATCCCAATGGACTTACAGCATCTAAGCTGGTCTGCTTGCAGGGGAAGGAGAAGGTGAATCCCAAGGGAAGCCGGGCTCCTTTAATCCCCATGTAGTCAAGGAAATCTGAGATGCAGTGAACAATGTGATCGAAGAGCTGGAAAACAGATGTAACTTTACTTATGGTTTGTAAACACACAGAATTAGTTTCAAATACATATTTTTCCATACAATATGACAATGTTAAAAGGAAACTAAACCTATAGACTTACAAGTTTAAAAAAAAAAACAGTTACATTTCTATAACATGCTTGGAATGTAACTGTCATATTTGCTTGTGCTCTCAACCAAACTGTCAAACCATCAAATTGCTGGTGTCATAACTGATCACATGTGCAGCACCATCTATTATTATTTATTGCAGGTACCTATATAGCGCCAACAATTTACACAGCGCTTTACATATATGTATAGTACAATCACATCAGTCCTTAACCCCCAAGGAGCGTACAATCTAAGGTCCTTAACGTACATTCATAAAAACATATATTAGGGCTGATTTAGACAGGAGCCAATTAACCTACCAACATGTATTTGGAGTGTGGGAGGAAACCAGAGTAAACCCATGCAGGTACAGGGAGAACATGCAAACTCCAGGCAGGTAATGTTGAGGTTGGGATTTGAACCGACGACGGCTAACCACTGTGCTGCACCATGGCAGTTAACCGCTTACTGATCACCCTATAGCAGAAGTACTGCTACAGGGCAGCAGGGATGTGTAAAATCACGTATATACGTGATTTTGCATTTCCAGGTAGGGGGCGTGTCCTGGCCGGGACTTGGTGATCGTCAGCGGAGTTGACAGTTGAGAGGTCTGTATGTAAACAACACAGATCTCTCCCCTGTCAGCATGAACAGGCTGCTTTGTATTGCTCTGCACAGCAGAGCAATACAAAGCAGATTGTCCACATAGTAAAACAAAACACAGCACATTATGTGAAACACACACAGCACATTGTTAACCCTTTGATCACCCCAGATGTTAACCCCTTCCTGCCCAGTGTCAGTAGAAGTCAGTGTCTACTGCAGTGTCAGTGCTTTTTATTAGCACTGATCAATGTATTAGTGTCACTGGGGATGTCAGTGGCAGTTAGTCAATTCCCCCCACTGTCAGAATGCCCTCCGCAGTCCCACAATAATTCGCTGTTTGCTGCCATTACTAGTAAAAAAAAAAAAAAAATGACAGTATATATACCGCCATTTGTAGACACTATAACTTTCACGTAAACCAACTAATTTACACGGTTTAGTTTTTTTTTTTTTTGCAAAGACATGTAGCAGACTCCATTTTGGCCTAAATTTATGAAATTATTTTATTTTTAAACTTTTTTTACTGGATATGTTTTATAGCAAAAAGCCAAAAATATTGTTTTTCTTTCAAAACTGTTGGCCTTTTATTTGTTTATAGCGCAAAAATAAAAACCGCACAGGTGATCAAATGCCACCAAAAGAAAGCTGTATTTGTGGAAAAAAAGGGACACAAAGTTCATTTATGTACAACTTTGTATGACGGCACAATTGTCAGTTAATGTAACGCGGCGCTGTATCACAAAAAATGACCAGGTCAGGAAGGGGGGTAAATCCTCTGGAGGGCAAGTGGTTAGAGATAGGATGGCAGCTTCCTTGGCTGAAAATATGGATGGAAAATGAATAGAAGGGTTTAATTCTGTTTCAAAGCCGTAAGTGATGCAGCTTTGTATGTGTGGAAATAATATTTCACATATGTTTTTCGAACCAGAGAACTGCCAGCACCTAGATGGCTGTCTTTACGATACTGTTTTCCCTCTTCCCATGATTTTCATTTATTTCACATATCTAAGCAGAATCATAATTTAACTCATTTACAAAGTATTACAAAAGTAAATCATAAGGTGGGATACCATGTAACGTAGCAAGTACTCTATGAGTCTAGACCAGAGGGAAAATTATTTCTGTAATGTATGATGTTGTATACAATGTATATGACATACCTCCTCCCCAGTGCCTTGCATGACATCTACAGGAATGGCATAAATTTTATTATGCATTTCCACGGTTCGTCTTTTACCACTTCTTATCTTTACAAGTAATACTCTAAAGTTTGTTCCTCCAAGGTCCAGGGCCAGAAAATCACCATTTTCTAGAACAAAAAATACACAAAATGATGCAATTTAGGATTATCTGCTCTTTAAACATTGAATATAGACACTTATAGAAAATAGTTAAGATTTACTTAGTTTGCTAAATTTAGCTTCCCATTTAATAAGTTCCATTAAAATGTAGTATTACAATGACACTTTATATACAGTATATTGTTCCTGTATGTTTACCCATAGCACAGTTCAGACACTCTACAAATGGTAGTAGAATGTCAGCACTAGAAGGCACCTGAGAAAACAATGGGTAACTGGAAGGTACTATACTGGAATTGTCTGCCTGTTTCATACATCACAACTGTGCGCACAGCTACCTGTTTATGAAAATACTTCCATTAGTGGTGGATGTTCCCCTGCCCATTTGATGGAGCTTTGAGAGCTTTCTCTGCATTTCCCTTCCGTTATGTTTCCTAGGCATTTAAATATGAACACGCACCTGTGCCATCTGGTGTGCTGCGAACAAACGTTGGCAGCATTTTCACTTTTGCAGTTTCGTGAGTTTTTTTCTTCAATCCACATTCAATCTCGATTCGCATCCTCCTCTTCACCTCCTGCAACTGCTCTTTACTAAGGCAGAATTCCTCAAGCGTCTCATCAATCTGTCGCCTCTGCTCTGCCAGCCGATAAGCCACCGCTGTCACCATAGCAGCACCCTTACCACTGCCACTTTCTGACAGCAAAAAACGCACGTCACAGTCAGGGACCAAGCGTCTCACAGTTTTATGCAGACGTCGGGCGTATCTAGAGAGAGCATATCAAATGTTAAAGGGTAATTTAAAAAAATATATATTTGTTAGCACTGAAGAGGATAAATCCAGTTGGCTGCTATGAGTAATGAAGTCACACTTTTGCTTAGTACCAAAAAGACTGAGTCCACAAGAAATAGGGCTAATTTATACAGAAACGGAAGGTAAAAAATACTCTGAAAACTGTATGAAATTCTTACCCTAATTTTATTCTTACCCTAATTTTACATCCCTGGTGCCTATTCATGGCAGCTTCCAAACCCTCCATCAGGACTAGTGAAATGGTGGTTATGTATAAGCCATAGATTGGCACCAGGAAAGAAAATTAGGATAAGTATTTTATTCCATTTTCCTGGTACTTACATGGCACCATACTAGTGATAAATAACAAACTGATGGAGTTGGATGCAAAATGCTGTTTTAATTGCCTTTCTTCTAAACTCGACTTCCATCAATGTGCCAGGATCAGTTCTATAAGGTTTTAGGAAAATGTGATGGAAGAACCAACTTGCCGCTCTACATATCATATCCATGGAAACTCTGGCATGTGCCGCCCAAGATGCAGTGACAGCCCTCTTGGAATTGCCCCTCACCATAGAAGTGGAATCCTGTCCAACTGCTCTGTATGCCCTATGGATCAGTTTTACTATCCAAGATGCCAAGGTTCTTGAGCTGGAGTCCTTTCCCCTATATTTTCCTGCTGACCAAACAAAAAGTCTGTTTGAAGGTCTGAAAGGGGCTATAGCTGAGAGATATATTAACAGAGTTCTAGAAACATCAAGCTCCTGCAGGGCCTTGACCTGTGAATCCTGAATTATAGGCATTACCCAATTGTCTGCTAGGTGAAATGATGGAGCTACTGTGGGGACAAAATTCCAGGGGCTCTTACTTTTTCACTTTTATCTATTTAGGGTAGATATAGATGTGTGTCTAAATATCTGAAATGTATTGTAATTGTACTGTCTCCCTTATAGTGTAAAGCGCTGCGCAAACTGTTGGCGCTATATAAATCCTGTATTATAATAATAATAATAATATCCCTTTTCCTCTGAAGCCCAATCCGTGTTCTGATTGCACTTCAGAAGCTACTGACAAGCATTGAGGAAGCAATGCAATGCCTCCTCATAACCTGTTTTAGCCTGGGTTCACACTGATGCGTCGCGGAATTCGTACCGATTTCTGTGCGAATTCCGCACCACATCACAATCGCACCCTGTTCATGCGAACCGCTGCGGGTGTGTATGTTAAGTTAACAACACCCCAAAACCGGTTCACAAAACGCAGTGCGATGTGCAGAATCAGATTGCATGGGTGTGAATACCTATGCGATCTGATTCTAGTGCGGATCAAAAAAAGGTTCCTGCACCTTTTTGGTGCGGAGGCGGTGCAATTTGAGCCACATAAAATGTATTGCTCAAATTGCACCGCACAGAATTTGCATGTGATTTGTACAGGAATGCCGTGCGGTTCCTGTGCCCATCACATGCGATATGCCACACCACAGAAGTGTGAACCCAGACTCAACCCCATTTTTGCTGACACACGCGCCTCAATCAGGTGCAAGGCTTTTGCAGCGCTTCCCCTTTTGCTTGAATGTGTGCCCATCGCTATCTACATCGAGTACAAAGTGAAGCATCGTGACCGCGGCATATAAACACCTCTGTCTTCTGCACTGTTGGGGGGTGGCAAAAACGCAGCTCAACCATGCACTTTTGCCACTCCCCCAACCACATGTCTAAATTAAATCTTACTGTTCCTGAGGTAGTGGTTAGAGGCAGAGCTCCATCTCTAGTATGCTGCCATGTATGCATCAGGAAAGTATCTTTTTTGTTACACAAAACAGCTGTCTGTTTTAGTGCCATTTATAAATGCAATGGATATGTCTGATATATGGTTGCTATAGGTAATACAATATAATGCAATATTTCAATTCTATATCAGAATTTGTTATAGTGAAGAACTCAGATACTCTCAATAAATATGCCTCTCTTTATATCTCACCATGGCAGAGAAGGCATGGAATTCAAAGAGGAAATCTAATAGCGCAGGGGTGTCAAACTGGTGGCCCTCCAGCTGTTGCAGAACTACAAACCCCATCATGCCTCTGCCTTTGGGAGTCATGCTTGTAACTGTCAATCTTGCAATGCCTCATGGGACTTGTAGTTTGGCAACAGCTGGAGGGTCACCAGTTTGACATCCGTGTAATAGCGCATGAACATTTTAATATATACACAGACAGCTAAAAACATCCACGAGATCTGCTCACATATAAAAAGTACCCAAAGCTCAGTAGTATCCAATAAAGGAAAAAGGACCCAAAGGGTGTCAAAACTTTAATTTTAGTTCCTACACGGTAGGGAGAGAAAAAAACTAAGGGCTCACTGGTTCAGGTTAGGCTGCTCACAACAGACAGGGTTAATAAAAGATACTTCCCAACTGATTCAATGGTTTGCACAAAAGAGTCATCAACACATTTCAAGGTGGATTTAAGTAAAATCTAGAAACTTGAATGGACTCAAAGTATGGCTTTCCTGTGTAAGTCTATGTAAGGACGTTGATAGTGGGACCTTGAGAGTTACTAGGCAGCAGTATCTGCATGAACAGCAGTAAAGATAAGACACTACAGTACACAGGAGCATGTGTATTCACCAGGGTAAAAAGCGCATCTCTGCCTATTTACCAGACTGCAACTGTAGGACAATTCCAGCGAGCATTGGAATCCACATTGTTATGTGCTGATGTCACCTGCCTAGTCCCACCCGCTATGGAGTGCGCCTCCAGTACAAACACAGAAGAGCATTCTGTATATGTGCTACAACGGAAGAAGGCCCACCTCTGTGACTGCATATATGTGTGTGTCACTGGAATGGATTAAGGAATCACTTGCTTTTGACAACAAACTGGGTACATCAGTAGGCAACATTTACTACAAACATAACCATAGCACTTACTGTGGATGCATCTTGTAAAGTGACCCATCAATGCCTACTGTGGTTCGCAACCTGGGGACCCCTTTATTGTCCCGGAGACGAGTTAAGATACCACCCAGTGTAGCAGCTATCAGGTTGGCAGAACGGAAGGAGACGATTGTACACACGTGTTGTACAGCAATGCAGTCTTCATGGGAAGGTTCCACCCCTAACCTTGTCAGTATATCTTTGGCTTTGCTTAATCCTTCTTTACTCCTGAGAACAAAAAGGAGTTGTGCAGAAATGTTAAGAAGACCATAAATCCCGAATTTGATATCATAATTCTCTTTTGCATTTTGGCATTGGAATTTCAAAACAATGTATTCTTTGTATTTCTTTTTTGTTGGAAATGTGTGATTTACAAAGGATAAATTTGCACAGGCATCTAGCCCCGATGCAAATGACAGCGGCAGGAATCTGCTGATTCCTATAGTTTTTGCCACCTGTGTGCAGCTGTCTGTAGCCCCCAAGCACTGTAATTTTCAATGAAAGGTTGATGGCGGCCTGTCATTGAAGTGTACAGGGCTTGGCAGATGCAGCTGCACTTCAAGGTGGCAAAAACAGCTGCGTCTGTCATTCTCACTAGGGCTAGTCACTTGTGCAAATGTAGCCCAAATGTACCACAAATAGCATCTTTGAACATCTGAAGAAGTAAATTTTAATTATTCTAGGAATGTTTTTCAACTTTCACTTTTTTACTTTCTTTCTTTTTTTCTGTGTATGTAAAAAAAAACTCGTGTGCATTTTTACTTTGCTCTGAGGAAGCTGCAGCATTTGTATACCATGTAAAAGAACTTCAATTGCTGATTGAAATTCTAAAGTCATGTGAGAAATGATGTGCAGGTTATAGGGCTGATTTACTAAAGAAGTAGAGAATGTTCACTTTAATGTTCAGTTTAATGAATGGATGAGCTTAGTAAACCCCAATTCAGGTAACAATACAACATTTACAAAAATTCAAATTCTTCCCAGGGGAAAAACATTTTGGATGAAGTCCCACTTTAAAGCCGAATTCCAGGAATTCAGCAACTTTGTAAAAAGTGAAGGCACTCTATGAGTTTAAGTAGAACTAAAGGCAAAACTTTTTTTTTTAGTTTTGGTTACAGTGGAGAGGGATTAGAGTCCCTGTCAGTTTTTATTGATGTCTATGTCTCCATTAGGGAGATTCACTCCCTCTATTTGTTCTGTTTACCATTATCATTGAAAGTGAAAGTAAAAGAAAATCCCAAAATTTTGAGTTCTCCCCAGAAATGTAATAGAGGGGAAATCTTCCAATGGGGACACTAGTTCTTGTGACCTGGGGGTCCCCAAGGAGCCTGTTTGGCTAGGAGACAGGAAGTGAAGGGAGATCTCCACAATGGGACACGGATAAAAAAAAAACTCTGATAGGGGTTATAACCCTCTCTTACTCTATCCAAAATGAAAAACAAATTGCATATAATTCGACTTTAGGTCCAAGATAGTGCATGACATCTCCTGTACTTATCATTACCATTAACTGTATGTATATCTGACAGGCTTATAGTACTCCCAGAAGAGACTATCACTGTATTTCCAGGTGCTGATCCTTCTTATCTCTGTATCTTCAACTCTGCTGCTATTATGCCCACCGCTCCTCTCCTCCTGCCCAATCACAGAAGCCTTGATATTATGTGAACACATTCACTAAATGAGCTGCAGGCATAGCTGCTCCATCTGCTTCTCTCCTCATATCCTGGAGTGTCTCTCCTGCAGAGCAATAAGCCTGTCAGATGTGTCATGCACCTGGACTTAACTCAAAGTGGGCCTTCATGTTTTGTGAATTCCTGGAATTCAGCTAAGAAATAAAAAAGGATAGATAGATAGATAGATCTAGAAAAAAAAACAGTGCACTTACTTCTCAATGGCGGACACATGCTTAGTTTCGAACTTCCCTCTAGTTAAGAGTTCTGGAGTGATTCTTCCTTCAAACAGAAGACCTTCTTTGGCCATCTTTACCAATATAAGTCTAACCAATTCTCCCATATACATGCCACTCACCATCTTTTCAAATCTGAAAGGAAAAATGACAACATCTGTTACCACCCCAAATTGAATAACATAACAAAATTCATAATTATCCCTTGCCATCCTTATAATCAAATGTTATTGAGATAATGGTAGTCACAGCAACCACATTATATAGGCAATTGTGTAAGCTATAAAATTAATTAGATGGCTGCTATAATTACCAGGAGTATAATTAGTGCGGTGGACGTAATCTGGTGCCATATCGGCATATCCACAAAGTCAAAAATTACAAAAATCTGTCGGACACAAAAGTTTTTTTTATTGTAAAACAATATATTTTTTATTCTACATAGATACATAAAATTTTACAACATGACTCTAAAAAAAGATATGCTAAGTAGGACCGGTCATATTTGAGATCTTATAGATAATATAAATTCAAAGCGGTGGTCCACCCATCCTCTCAGTACCCATGCATGAGTTTGGTGATGTAGCTGGAGGCTGTGGGTGGTTTTGTTCTGGTTAGTATTTTGAATTTATACATTGGGCTAGTGGAAGTCATTTAGTGGATTGGAACTAAAAACATCAGAATAACCATCTACATTTGTTCCAAACAGTTGTTTTGGCCACTCCTAATGTTTTTGCTATCTCTCTGATGGGTTTGTTGTGTTTTTTCAGCCTAATGATGGCTTGCTTCAATGATAGTGACAACTCTTTGGATCTCATCTTGAGAGTTGACAGCAACAGATTCCAAATGCAAATAGCACACTTGAAATGAACTCTTGACCTTTTATCTGCTCATTGTAATTGGGATAATGAGGGAATAACACACACCTGGCCATGGAACAGCTGAGAAGCCAATTGTCCCATTTCTTTTGGTCCCTTAACAAGTGGGAGGCAAATATGCAAACTGTTGTAATTCCTACACCGTTCACGTGATTTGGATGTAAATACCCTCAAATAAAGCTGACAGTCTGCAGTTATAGCACATCTTGTTCGTTTCATTTCAAATCCATTGTGGTGGTATATAGAGCCAAAAATGTTAGAATTGTGTCGATGTCCCAATATTTATGGACCTGACTGTATATTGCTTCACAGTGAAATCTCCTTTGTGAAATATACACACCTAAGGGTTATTTGGTATTCTTGTTCCTGTTGTCAGCTGAATTTGTTGAATTATTCCTTGCCAAAACTCTTCAATATAAGGGCAATCCCACCATATATGTGCCATAGTTCCTTCAAATCCACATCCCCCCCCAACAGATCAGTGAATTTTGTGATCGTTGTTTATGTGCTACACTCGGTGTACATTACCATCTTACTAGACATCTATAGTTCATATCTACTATATTCAGATTTATAGCACTATGGGCCAGTCTAAATATTTTCTTCTTATCATGTTCCTCTAGTTTTGCCTTATAAATACAAGAAGTTGTATGTTTACATTTTGTCTCCTGACTAAACAATAGTTCCAGAGGATACATACTGTCCACCGTCTTTAATGGTTGCAGAAGAGGTGATACAAAATGCCTCAGTTGGTGGTACGGTCGCCAGAAGTGGTTCCAGTGAGATAACAAAAAGTAGTGGTGACATAGGACAACCCTGTCTTGTCCCGTTATACATTTTGAAGAATTGTGATAATGAACCATTAAAATTCACTGCAGCTGAAGGAAAACTATACAATTTTTTTATCCACTGCATCATCTTATATCCAATACTCAATGCTTCTAGTGTGCTGATCATGAACACCCAATCTACCCTGTCAAAGGCTTTTTCGGAGTCGATTGACCTTATCAATGCCGAACCCCTCTCTTTCTTACTTTTTTGCAAAAGGAGCAATGATCTTAATCCATTGTCTCTTTCCTCCCTCCCTGGTACAAATCCTACTTGATCGATATGTATCCAATCCGCCATTAGATCCTTCATCCTGTTTGCTAAAACCTTTGCAAATAGTTTTGTATCAATATTTAAGAGTGATATTGGCCTATAACAGAACATTTCCCTCCTTCTGTATAACTGTGATATTTGCCTGCAGAAACTCCTCCCTCATATCCTTCTCTTCTCCCAATGCGTTTATATTTCTACAGAATTTGGGCATAAGCTCTTTTTGAAACGTCATGTAATATCTCAGCGTAAAACCATCTGGTCCCGGGCTTTTTCCTGTTGCTGTACTTCTCAATGCCTTACTTATTTGTTCACGGGAGATTAATTTTTCTAATGCTAACAATCTCTCTTCCTCTATCCTGGGCAATCCCGCTTCCTTTAACTATTGCTGCCTCTTTCTTTCTTTCTTTCCCCTCTGATTCTTTCGGGTTACTGGGTTTTAAATCATAAAAATTACTATAATATTTTGGAACGTTCTAGCTATATTAGTGGTTGAATAAACCATTTCACCGATTTAATCTTTTATTTTTTCTATGTAATTCCTTGATTTCCTCTCTCTTACTCTTCTCATCAGATATTTTCCTGGTTTATTTCCCCACTGCTAACTTTCTTTATCCACTCTATTGAAAACTCTTCTAGTATCTTGTTCCATGATGTCTTTCATTTCCTCTCCATAGTCATCATTATATACCTTATATGAAGAGAGGAACGAGCGCTGGATATGACAGGATTCAAGCTGCTAGCATAAAGGTAAACCTCGTATACCCCCTTCATCAAAAGTCAAATACAAAAAATTGCAGCGCTTGAGTGTATAATACAGGGAATTAACATGAATAGCAGATTTAAACATTCATATTTCAACATGCACCAGATCCCACACTCTTAAATTGTTGTAAACAGTAATCAGATAAGTATTGAAGATCTATCCGACTAGTCAAGGTGCCTATAGTGATGGGGATGTTAAAGTCATAAGTTCTGTGATGTATCCAAACAAATCCGTGACTTCCGTGATAGGGGAATAACTGTATAATGCACTAACCAGATAGCGCAAGTAAATGCGCATTGGAGTATAATGACCTACTCCTGGTCACAGCCAGATGGTCCTTAGCGTGAAGCCCTCAGGAACACCAGTGCACCACTCTTGCCGTCTCCTACCACCAGGGGGAGTGCGCCTCTTTACAGTAACACGAAATCACTTTATATCCTCTATCGCCAGGATTGGTGTGCTTTCATATCAGGAGATCATCTCAGGGGCTCAGCAATAAGACCCAAAAGAAAGAAATCTTGATAGTGTAGTATTTTTATTCAAAGGTAAAAAGTAAGTAATACACTTACATGGTAATGTCCAACAAAAGCTGATGCATAGAATCCAAAAAGATGGCCGACAGTCAGATGCATGAAACAAGTAGATGATCAATGGTATGAGAGGTGTCCTTATCCCTAGGGCTGTGACCAGGAGTAGGTCATTATACTCCAATGCGCATTTACTTGCGCTATCTGGTTAGTGCATTATACAGTTATTCCCCTATCACGGAAGTCACGGATTTGTTTGGATACATCACAGAACTTATGACTTTAACATCCCCATCACTATAGGCACCTTGACTAGTCGGATAGATCTTCAATACTTATCTGATTACTGTTTACAACAATTTTAAGAGTGTGGGATCTGGTGCATGTTGAAATATGAATGTTTAAATCTGCTATTCATGTTAATTCCCTGTATTATACACTCAAGCGCTGCAATTTTTTGTATTTGATCATTATATACCTGGTGGGCACCTAACACAGACCCAGTGGGCTTCCTTATAAAAAGAAGGAATAATTAGGTTGTCCGTAGTAACAACTAATTTAAATCTTTCATATTTAGAACCTGAAGTACAATAATATTTGTTGAACGTTCACTCAAATTAATACTTTGTGTATTAGTGTGGCACAATATATTCAGCATGCTGGAATTTTGCCCTATAATATAACTTAAGTGAATGAGGGCAACAGTTGTTTAACCTTAATCATGGACCAATAAAATAATTGGGCCATCATTCTAGATCTCTCCGTTTGAAGATGCCAGCTGTCTGGTTTCAATACTTTCTGAGGCACAGACGCAGGCTCAGGAGTTGTGACTCCTATGACTTTTTAGTTGCATGTGTTTTCTGGGTCAATAAATCAGAAAATAATGAGGATAGAGACAAGCAGGCACCTTTCGAGAAGGTGGTCAGCAATGACAACCTCAGCATTGGCTTCATCTCAGTCCATGTCCTCTGCTTATTGTTTGTGTTCAAAAGCCTCAATGATAACTTGACAAATGCATTTTTACAAAAAATAGGGTGTGAAATGCTCTATATACGGGTGAATGCTTACAGTTGTTTTCCCGGATTCATAGAGCCTCGGTCAATCTCTCGATCAAACTCTGTTCTAATGTCCTCTAATAAGCCATCATCTCCAAATGCTCCCCATTCTGTGTTAATACACATCCTTCCCTCGTCTCCTTCCACTAAATCAATGTGCCTCAGTTCCTCCATGTAACAGGCATTTGTTCCAGTACCTGAGAAGACAAATCATAATGAGTGCTTTTTGTATGGCACACATGACATCATTTACACAAATAGTTTTGTCTCCTTACCAATGATTATGCCAACTTCACATCTCTGGTCATCAAACCCACAGGTCATCATGGTGCCAACTGTGTCATTCACTACAGCCATAATATCTGCATCATAGTCCTAGGGAAAAAGAACACAAGATTTTTGGCATGTACATAGTTGGTGTGTGTGTATATATATATATATATATATATATATATATATATATATACACAGTGCTCAGCATTAATGAGTACACCCCTTTTGAAAAGTAAGATTTCAAAAGGAGTGATTCAAGATTTCAATATCTCAATGAACACAAGAACAATTTCCAAAATTTTTACAAAACTGAGTTTTATAGAACATTTGTTTAGCTCATTACATGAAAGTAAGGTTAATAATATAACTTAGATTACAAAATCTTCAGTTTTACTCAAATTAGTTGAAGCAAAAATGAATACACCCCACAACAAAAACTACTACATCTACTATTTTGTATGACCTCCATGATTTGTAAGGACAGCACCAAGTCTTCTAGGCATGGAATGATCAAGTTGGTGACATATTGCAACATCGATCTTTTTCCATTCTTCAAGAATGACCTCTTTTAGAGCCTGGATGCTGGAGGGAGAGTGATGCTCAACTTGTCTCTTCAGAAGTACCCATAGGTGTTCGATTTGGTTCAGATCAGAGGACATACTTGGCTACAAAATCACTCTCACCCTGTTCTTCTTCAGAAATGCAACAGTGGCCTTATATGTGTGTTTTGGATCATTGTCATGTTGGAAAAGTGCACCAAGGGCACGGAGTGATGTAGCATCTTTTCTTTCAATATAGAGCAGTACATCTGTGAATTCATGATACCATCAATTAAATGCAGCTCCCCAACACCAGCAGCATTCATGCAGCGCCACAGAAGAACACTGCCACCCAAAAGTGAGTACACCCCTAAGTGAAAATGCTCAAATTGGGCCCAAAGTGTCAATATTTTGTGTGGCCACCATTATTTTCCAGCAATGCCTTAACCCTCTTGGGCATGGAGTTCACCAGAGCTTCACAGGATGCCACTGGAGTCCTCTTCCACTCCTCCATGATGACATCAGAGAGCTGGTGGATGTTAGAGACCTTGCACTCCTCCACCTTCTGTTGAGGCTGCCCCACAGATGCTCAATAGGGTTTAGGTCTGGAGACATACTTGGCCAGTCCATCACCTTTACCTTCAGCTTCTTTAGCAAGGCAGTGGTCGTCTTGGAGGTGTGTTTGGGGTCGTTATCATGTTGGAATACTGCCCTGCCATCTGAACCAAATAAGTTTGTCTTGGTCTCATCAGACCACAGGTTCCAGTAATCCATGTCCTTAGTCTGCTTGTCTTCAACAAACTGTTTGCGGGCTTTCTCGTGCATCATCTTTAGAAGAGGCATCCTTCTGGGACAACAGCCATGCAGACCAATTTGATGCAGTGTGCGGCGTATGGTCTGAGCCCTGACAGGCTGACCCCCCACCACTTCAACCTCTGCAGCAATGCTGGCAGCACTCATACGTCTATTTCCAAAAGACAACCTCTGGATATGACGCTGAACACGTGCACTCAACTTCTTTGGTCGACCATGGCGAGGCCTGTTCTGATTGCAACCTGTCCTGTTAAACCGCTGTATGGTCTTGGCCACCGTGCTGCAGCTCAGTTTCAGGGTCTTGGCAATCTTCTTATAGCCTGGGCCATCTTTATGTAGAGCAACAAGTCTTTTTTTCAGATCCTCAGAGAGTTCTTTGCCATGAGGTGCCATGTTGAACTTCCAGTGACCATTAGGAGAGAATGAGAGTGAGAACACCAAATTTAACACACCTACTCCCCATTCACACCTAAGACCTTGTAACACTAACGAGTCACATGACACTGGGAAGGGGAAATGGCTAATTGGGCCCAATTTAGACATTTTCACTTAGGGGTGTACTCACTTTTGTTGCCAGTGGTCTAGACATTAATGGCTGTGTGTTGAGTTATTTTGAGGGGACAGCAAATTTACACTGTTATACAAGCTGTACACTCACTACTTTACATTGCAGCAGTGTCATTTCTTCAGTGTTGTCACATGAAATGAAATGTGAGGGATGTACTCACTTCTGTGAGATACTGTATATATAAATATACAATGCATTTAGACATGTAGACATGGTGCAGAAAACTTGAACGTGGCATGGTTGTTGGTGCTAGACAGACTGGTCTGCATATTTCAAAAACTGTTGATCTACTGGGAATTTCACACACAACCAGCTCTTGGGTTTACAGAGAGGGGATTCTGATGATTTTAGTGCCAATCCACTAAAAGGGATGGGTATGTCCAGCTTTAGAGATGTACTTTATAAGCAAGAAATGCTGTGCTTCAACCAGCTAAAACCTACAAGAAGATATCAAAGGAAATTTCCATCAAAACATTAGATCATCAAAAATGTTAGTGGAAGTTGTCAGTGGTAGAAGAAGCCTGAACATTTACAAATGCTGGCCATACATTTATCAGTTTGTTCATTTTTAGCAACTTTCATACACAAATGTTTCAAGTTTCCGAATGATAAAAACTGGAATGAAGATAAATTTCAAATACCTTCTCAAGTGGTATTGAGTCAGTTTCTACCACAGTATGATCTTTTGGAACTAGGAAACTATTTGTGATTGAAAGCTGTTTGAAATTCAGCAATTTACCACAACATTGCTTGGTGTATGGCCACCAAAAGTATCTGTAATACTGTCCTGCAGAGAGGAAGAGAGGAAGCAGAATAATAAAGCCAGATTGACTTACAGCGCCCCTTGCCCCTTACTCTCCCAAAATTTATCCTGTTGAAGACTGGATTACAGGAGGATAATATAAAGGCACACTAAGGTACCATTTAAAAAATTAGTGTAATTAATACACATGCAGGTTAAATTGGGGAATTGTGTATCTGTCTACATTTTTCTTTAACACAAAATCTTTATAAAGAGAGATGATCTGTTTTACTTTACTCCTCGTTTCTTGATGGCCTTGTTTAACAATTTAACCACATCCATCCCTTCCACCCCACTGGCCTTGAATCTTTTAGTCCAGGTCAACAAAATGCCCTGTAAAGAAATAAAACTAAGTCAGCACAATATTATACAGCTCCATTTAATAAAGCTGAAAATACAAAATTTAATAGAAAATATGATTTCAGATAGCTTCTATAGGCAATTTCTACAATCATATTTGACCATAATTTCAAAAATCTGTCTTGATGATAAAGTTGCCAGTTTATAAAGAATTTCCATTTTTAATGAACATGATACCTAAACTGAGAGCTTTAGCTGTTTTTAATAGTTTGTAAACAGGAAGGTTTTTTTAGTGCACAAATTACACAAGAGACATACTTTGTCTTTTCTGCAATAAAGGTTTCTTAGTTTCTTGTTCACAATATTCTTTATTGAGTGCAAACCCAGCATCTGCCGGGAGCCAGAATAAATGAACTCTGTGCAAGGGAGTTATGTCATCCTGGGTGGCAAATGAAGATGGCTGAAGACACCAAACCTGGCCCAAATAATCTATTGTTGCAGTGCCCCCCCCCTTTCCCCCACACCCCTTAATCAAGCCACACCTGTTCTCCTAGGTTGACATTTTTGCTACTGGTTGCATTCCACCTGAATTCTGGGTAAATGATATGGTACACCCTGTTGAATCTCAAATTCTGTATTCAATAAAATACTTGAACAAGAAAAAATTATATAATGGACTCAGGGGTTTGGCTCGTACAGCATAAAAACCTAGCTATTTGGGCATCCAGGAGGCACAGGTGCACTCTGCAGCTTAAATGAGTACACTGTTAACAACAACGTATTGCAACTTGTGATTGACCATGGCAGGCTCCCATGGCAGGCTCCCCGCAGCAGATTTCACACTGCTCATGTGCCTTTTAGGTGCCCAAACAAGCCAGGTTTTTACCCTGTACAAGCCAAACTATCCAAGTGCACCCCTAAAGCCCAGCATCCCTTGCAGAGATTTCCCCCTTTTATTTCTGTGAGACCAGGACCAGAAATTTGGTCTGGTTTGACAATGTGGACCAATTGGTACAATACTAACAGAATGTAATAATATACTGTACTTTATTATGATATGCCATACCTTTACATGTCCATATACAGTATATCACTTTCACTTTTTTTCATGTCTTTTGTCCTTACTCTGCTACTCATTATATTCTTTCAGATGATACCATTGATAATTTTCCTTACTGATAAACTTGTTGAGTATACATCATAACAAGCTTGATTGTAGCTCTTTAACCAATAATATTCATTTCATTAACGTTTGTTAATATGGAAGTTAAGTCACACTTCGTTACATTACCTTTTTGTACCGTTTTTACATTTTATTTTACTTAAAATGTCTATTAAACATTTAAGGTTTAAAAAACAAAATAAATAAATGTATAACCTCATAGGGAGTGTAGCTAAAATGTGATATCTCATCATTTCCTGTTTCTCTATTCTGGGACAGGAAGTGAGGGGAAATCTCTCCAATGGCAAAACAGGCCACAATTAAAAAAAATTATCCCATAAGGTATCTGGGTTATTAGATGTACAGCCTTTCCATCAGCCTTCAGTTTCTTTGAATAATATTCATAAACAAGGCACATCTTACCTCATCTAATTTAGATTGCATGCATGGGAAGGAAAAGGTGAATCCGACAGGCAGCTTCTTGTCTTTGATCTGCTTCTTCTCCATGAAATCTCCCAGGCATTCGGCAACATGGTCAAAGAGCTTTTGAAAGACAACAATGTTCTTCTATGAGTCACACGAATCATAGTGCTACATAAAAGGCAGTTTACATAGCTGAAGCCTTCTGTTATTATACTCTACCGTCCAGTGCTGGTAAGAATGGGCACCCTGTGTCACTATGGGCCTTGTGTATAAAAAATTTGTAGGAAAGGAATAATGAAGATAAACAATCCCCTAAAGAAAGGAAACACTTTTCAGGTATTTCTTAAGATGCTTCACACTGGAATAGTGTCTTAGACTACTGCTTTTTATCTCAATAGTACAGGTTCAAGTAAAACAAGGTAAATGAACCAGCCATTGCTTCCCTTTTTATGCCATCTGTAATATACAGTGTTTCTCAAGCAGGTACATCTGGGTTCACCCGTGTGGGGGTTGGGGGCCATGAGCACGGGACCCAGTATATTCTTGATCAATGGCATGAGTTGCCATGATGTGGGCTGGCCGTCCGTAAGTACTATAACAACCAATGACACTCTAGTGCTAGGACACACGGCAGCTTTTGATGCTATGGTGAAGTTGGCCATTCGTCTGCACCGTGGCAAAGCATGACTCTGATTCAGGGGCAGGTGGCATATAGGACTGCCTCCAGTATTCAGAACACATAAGTCATCTAGTCCTCCTCTACCTCCTGCTGGAGACAAAATGTAGGGCTCTGATGTGAAGAAAGGACTGTGTGACTGGGAGACGTAGGGATGGGGGGGGGGGCTCTGTGGTGATGGGGGGGACTCTGAGGTCATGGGGGTACTCATATATAGGGGGTCTCTGATGTATAGGAGAAACCTCAGAAAGAAACAGAGGACTCTGATTACTGAAAGAGGGGACATCTGATGAGATGGGGGCTCTGAAGTGATGGGGGAATCTCTAATGAGGCAGATGTGTACAGCGTCATGGGCTCAGGTTACCCATTGATAACATTTACGTTTTTTACATTGTAGACTGGGGTGCCTCAAGATTTTGCATACTTTGCATACCTGCATAAAGGGTTTAAGGACCAAAAAAAGGTTAAGAAATGCTGATATACAATACTATATCTGCCATACAAATCCTATGCCAATGTTTTTCACCTAGAGGACACTTGTGACAGGTTCAGATGGTAATTCAGTTGATGGGCTGAAGATTAAGCAGACCACAAAAAAAGAAAAATATTATATATATATATATATATATATATATATATATATATATAACAGGTCCACAATATAAGGGACTGCTTTGGAAAACATTTGTATTATCAGGGGCACATACATTGTACATATGTCAAAGGTTACTTACAATGACTTAATCTGCACATTTAGGGGTATTTGGTGTAGACTGGTTATTACCATGATGAGCCCTATTTAATTAGTTTCAGAAACAGCAGCCTGTGGCTGCTCCGATCAAAGTGGGATTTCATACAAACCATTTTTTATTTTGCATAGACTGGAAATGAGTTAGAACCCCTGTCAGTTTTTATTTCAGTCTGCGTCCTCATTGAGGAGATTTCCCCACTGCTTTCTGTCCTGGTGACCGCTTGTGATCAGGTCAGATAATGAGAGGACATATCTACAGGCAAATACAGATAGCAATAAAAACCTGACAGATGTTCTAACTCTTCTCAACTCTACTGAGTTTGTTTTGCCATCATGAGGTCAGGAAGTTAAGAGAAACCTCCCTTGAGGGGGTAATTATACAGTCTAAACCTGACTGAGGTTCTTCCTTAACTAAATTCAAATAAGAGAATGAGTCTATGGATTAGACAGTATTAAAGCCAAAGACAGGCAGCCAAACAGAATTCTTAGAAAGAAACCAACAATGGCAGCTATATATTTTGCATGACATAAAGGATATAAGGACAAACCTGTACTCATGTCTAATTTAGTGTCAACCAAGCACTTGAATATCAATCTCTATTCAATTTAAAAGAAAATAAATGGTTACGTATTTTGGGATTAGTGCTAATGCTGTTAAAAATGTTAGAATATTACAGGTAATGAAGGAAAATAGCAAACACCAAAGGTGGACCATTCCATTTAAACAAAGCTACATGGCATTTTCCAGCAGAGCAGATGCTGCATTTATTGGAATGCTGAAGGATTTACTTGGGTAAAGAGAAAACACAAAGGTTAATTGTATTCATCAGCTTACTACTGGGTTTTGTTTCTTTAACAATCCTATGTGGCCCTCCTAGAAGTGATGATTAATAGCCAGCTGACTAGCTGCAATTCACTATTATTCTTTCGGATGGGGTATATATGAGAAACACTAAGAGCCATCCCCTTGCATCTGTTAGCTCCGACCACACAGCCACTGGGATACAATATTACTACTTTGGGCTACCAAGGCATTCTAGAACATAGCTGAAGCTACTGGTAGGACCACTATGCATGAAATCACCGCTTTACCAGCAAAATGATCACAATAGGATTGCTTTCCATCAATGTATAAAAATGATCATAGAGCAAACATTTGACTATGCTCTGAAACCATTGTGTATGCTTTGATTGTAAGATTGTTGACTATATTGACATAGTTTCTCGTAAAACCTTGAAAATCACAATAAAATCCTATTGAAAATAAATGAACCTTTGTCTAAAACATATATCTTCACAATTAAAGGATGTCCAATGTACTTTTTCCACACGGGCCATTTTTTAGCTGTTGACATGTACTTTATTAGCAACAAAGTAGGGAAAACTTGGGATCTGTTTTTGGGTAAGAAGCTACTAAGCTGCCACATAAATGAGGCTACCCCAGGGATTCAGTTTAAACAATGGGGACATAATCAGCATTTTTCATCATAAAGTGACAGCATATTTAAAACATACAGTGCCATGGAGCGTGATGGCACCATTGTACTTGCACATGTGTAAGCTGGCCATACAATAAAATAATATAGTTTGAAAACTTTCATTTCAGGACCATTCTTTTGATTTTCGAATTGTTAGCGGGGCCAAACTGACGTTCATTTTTAACTGCAGTTTTAAGAAAATTCTAAGAAGTAGAATGGAAAATTATTTTTGAACAAATCAATTTCTAACAATGAATGTGCTCTTCGTTCAGGCAATTACAATAATTTCAAAATCAAAGGTTAAAATCAAAAATTTTGAAGTACTTTTGAACGACATTCAACAGTCATTAAATGTACTCATGAGAATTTTCACCCAATGTTCACCCAAACCTTTGTTCATTTATCTACCAGTGTGTGGCCAGCGTTAGACTTCACTTGTCATTTATTGAGAAGAATCTGATGAACCCCACTCTCATCAAGTCACACAAAACCTCTTCAAGTAGCACAACCAGTGCAAAAACACCTGGTGTCTATATAGTGGTGGCAGTTTGGCCCAAGATATTTGCTCTGAGGCCCATCTTCTCCACCATCTTGGTGGTCACCTAAGGCTCTTCATACATGGCTCTTCATATTTATTTTTTCATTTAGTCAGTGGGCTGAATCCTCCCCATTGCTGTCAGAATACACTGATCATCCTAAATGTTTCCAACATTTTCCTTCAACAGAAAACGATTACAAAATTGAAAGAGAACGGCCCAGCAATGACCTCCAGGAGGGTCTGCAGATCTGACACCAATATGCAAATACACGTCAATGGTAAATAAGGTTAATGACAGCTTGGACTTCATTCAGAGTCAGGTCCAAATACTAGAAGCACTTAAATACTAGAAGCACTTACCCTAGTGCCTGTGCCATGGATAATGTCCTCTGGTGTATCATAGATCTCACTCTCCATCTGCACCGTTTGTTTCTTTTCATGAGAAACCTTTACTCGTAGTATCCGAAAATGTGACCCCCCGAGATCCAGAGCGATGAAATCTCCCTTTTCTATTAAACAAGACCAGAGTTATGTATTTCTGCTGACACACACAAATGCTTCCATATCCTATATAGTTAAAAGACATCAGGATAGTTTGTTAAAATTAGAGTCATTTCACTTCACCAATAACACAAAGTAAACACTGCAACAGATGTCCATTTATCCTGCCTGAGTGATCTCAAGAGATAAGGTTTAGCTAAACACTTTATAATTCCAAAAGCAAATATTAAATTGTCACTCTGCAAGTAATGTGGTGACAATGTCATTAAACACTGAACAGTAGGCTAAACATCTGTAAATGTGTGAGATTAAAGCTGAACAGACAAGAGGCTGGATATTCAACTGAAATACACATGTGGGAACGGTATTAGCTGCCAAAGGATTTTTAATTCTGGGCTGTAAGTCTTGTGGTTCGGGCTTCCTGCCAGACAGCACAGCCAGATCCTTAACCTTTAATACATCACAATTTGGTCTAGAACAACAGTCAAAACTGACCTCAGCTTACAGACTGGACAGTGAAGAAGCAGAAGTACATTGAAGGGGTCATTCCATTGTTTACTCTGCTCTCCCCTCCGGTAAAGATTTTCAATTCTGGGTTGTAAGTCTTGTGGTTCGGGCTTCCTGCCAGACAGCACAGCCAGATCCCTTAACCCTTAATACATCACAATTTGGTCTAGAACAATGGTCAAAACTGACCTCAGCTTACAGACTGGACAGTGAAGAAGCAGAAGTACATTGAAGGGGTGATACCATTGTTTACTCTGCTCTCCCCTCTGGTCAAGATTTTCAATTCTGGGTTGTAAGTCTTGTGGTTCGGGCTTCCTGCCAGACAGCACAGCCAGATCCCTTAACCCTTAATACATCACAATTTGGTCTAGAACAATGGTCAAAACTGACCTCAGCTTACAGACTGGACAGTGAAAGAGTAGAAGCACACTGATGGGGTCATTTCATTGTTTACTCTGCTCTCCCCTCCGGTCAATAAGTATAATTTCAGCACATGTACACTACAGTATAGATACATATCTATGTAGCGCAACCTGTCTCGACTACTGCACCTCACTTTGCTCTAGGAAGCCACAGAAATGACAGAGGACTGATATCAAGTCTAATTCACTTTTTGTACATTTTACACATGATGCATTAGTTGGTCTTAATATCTGCCTGAAGCTGAAATCTGAAGCACTGTACACTAAGATGTCATGAAAGGGCACATCTAGCCAGCATTCCTGACATTCACCAGACACAATGCTACCAGTGATAGAATAGAACATATGATGTGGGACTGCTCACCTATTTGGACCCATATGTATAGTACACAGATGGCATAAACAACTGAGAGTGGCATTATCCATTCTCTATGCTATCCAAAACGAAAATGTTTTACCTATACTTTGAAAAGTGATCTGTTTCTATAGTTTATCACACACTTTGTGCTGTCGGTATGACATGAACCAGCTTGTGAGATGACGGTGAATAAAACTCCTTTACTGTAATTGCCATTTGTACAAATATGACATAAATTTCTTATCTACACTTTGCAGATCCATCCTTGTGGTTTCTGCAATGAAACTCTAACACCCTATAGTGCATACAGTAAGTTATAATATATCTCCTATTGCATTTCTGTTTTACCGCCAATTAGAAAAATAATTTAAAATACATTCTTGCAAGTGCAAAAGATGGAGCCAAAGGGGCATCACATACTGTGCATTGCTGTTATTGCTTAGATGTACTTTGTATACCTGTGACTATTTAGATTATCTTTTACATAGTGAGATGGATACAGAATAAGAGTTATTTATTTTTACAAAGCATAGTAGATATAAGAGAAATTTGTGAAAGCCACTGTAGGTTCCCAGGTAAACACACACAGAATGTATGAAGACAAACCACAAAAAAGAAGCATGCTCACAGATAAGCCATTGTGTATGTGCTTACTGGTTGCGGCAAGAGGTGGCAAAGTCACCGGGCATTAGAGTCATGTCAATAGCAAGTTCATACAAAAAGACAGATGGCTGTGTCCTAGAGATCAATCAGCAATGAACACAATTGAGGTCATTCCTGAAGGTGAGAAACTTTCTTTATGTGCTATGCATGTATCCCACCAATATCACTGCGTGTGTAGTTGCTGTGCATGTTACTTATACGTACATGTTACAACATGCCAAGTGTAATAATCCCTATCAATCAAATCTGAATTCCTGTATGCGGGTTAATACAATATATGTAATATATATAGTCTGGGTATTAATTCCTTTTTAATTGCACATGCCTTAATTAGAACGTTTCTCTGAATTTACACGCACACCAAGCCATCTAGCAGAAGTGAGAGGGAATGGAACAAACTAAATTACTGCTAGAGGTGCCTATTCATAGTTTTAAGTGAGCTTGTATAGCATTTTACATTTTGGGGCTCCATGCACACTGGGTCTCTAGCCCCAATGCATGAGGCTCTGATGTTTAATTGGGGGCACAGGTGCCCCATCCAACCCTGCTGCCGGCAGCCTGTTAAATTCTATGTGAGGCTGACAGCTGCTCTGGCTGGACAGTGCACCGAATGCTGCTAGTGTTTAATGCACTATTCTCCTAGAGATGGATACCCAGAAAGCTAGAATTCTGCCTGGAGTGTACAGGGCCCTAAACGCCGGTACCACTCGGTACAGTGTTCAGCACTGATCAGCGGCAGCCTGCCACAAACTTTGACAGGCTTCCTAAAGCGGAGTTAGATATTGCACCTGTCCTTCTCCAGCAAAGTAAAAATCCTGGGAGGGATACACTACTCTTAAATGGCCCTGCATGCAAGGGGCCTAAAAGTTCTACCTAAGGTCTCATTCTTACTGCTATTGGCAAACCAACATTTCTACGTGTTTAGAGGACATTAGTGAAACCATATAGCTTTAGAAAAGGTAAAAGAAGAAAAAGTAGCGCTTGGTGAGTGGCAAGAGAGGGTGAGGACTATTACAACTAAATATGTACTAATACTATGATCAAAATATTTATTAAAAGAGTATGTAGATATTCTATATAGTCCATGAAATAAAACAGCTAAAGTTCGTAAGTCCATAGACATAAAGTCTAAATAAACTGTAGAAAAGCAGCCAGCTATCAGAGCAGAAGACGCTAGGGAGAAATATGAGAAACACAAAGCAGCGCTTTCTGAGTGTAGTATGAAGAAACAACGGTTTAATAGGATACAAATTGGCAACTGACAAGAAATAAAAGCAATCAGGCACATAGCAGACAGGCAGATGACCTTCTCACTGCCCACACAGCCAGACCGCTGCACATGCTGTGTATCTGGACCGCTGTGCTGTGTATCTGGACTGCTGCACGTGCTGTGTATCTGGACCGCTGCATGTGCTGTGTATCTGGACCGCTGCACGTGCTGTGTATCTGGACCGCTGCACGTGCTGTGTATCTGGACCGCTGCACGTGCTAAGTATCTGGACCGCTGCACGTGCTAAATATCTGGACCGCTGCACGTGCTAAGTATCTGGACCGCTGCACGTGCTGTGTATCTGGACCGCTGCACGTGCTGTGTATCTGGACCACTGCACGTGCTGTGTATCTGGACCACTGCACGTGCTGTGTATCTGCTGCTCAGCTGTGCTGGTGGGTTCCACGGCTCCAAGACTATCGGGGATCCGCGAGACTGTCAGCTGTGACGTCATGGGTGTTGAAGGTAGGAGAATGGGCTGGTGTGTGTTTGGAGCATGTGTGCTCCTTTGTCGAAAAGTTTGAAAAAGTAGGCAGGACCTTGGAAACATGTTTCGGTCTGCCTTCCCCCACAGCCTAACACGTTCTCCTGTCTGTCTTCCTGTAACTGCCATGACTGAAAGGAGAGACACCACTGATCTATCATTTTGCAGCGGGTTCCTGCTTGTGCCCTGCAGCCCTATCAGTCCATCCAGATTGTGGTGAGCTGTATATCGCCCCACCACTCGGACACTTGAAGCAGTCTACAGCCTTTTAGATGTAAGTGAGAATGTCCCATGAGAATGCCCTTACCAGTAGTTGAAAGGCCTTACCCGAAAGTTAGGGAAAATCAGGTCACAGTAAGTAAATGAAACTAAATCAGAGAGGGGCATTAATTAGACGAAAGCTTTCAGTAGTAAAGGTTACAGCAGTCATCTTGTCGTGTTTTCTGTTAAGCTAGGCATAAACAGTGTGAATTGCGTCTGGCTTCTGATTAACTGCCCTAAATTTACTCAGTGGGTGGACCTGTTAGGCTCCTCCAGACCAATATTCCTGAAAAATCAAAGGAGCCAGGAAGAAAACTGTTTGCCCAACAGGGCCTGAGTCCAATCAGATGCAACCACTGTTCATGGAATTTTGACAGTTGGCAGAGCCGGATATCAAAATACAATAGATACAGCGGGAGAATCGTCCATCTGCGCGATTCAGGAGAAAATATATATCTGTGTGGCCAGCTTTAGGCAGGAATTTTAAACGTTTTAAACAATCAGTGCAGGTTTACTTTACATTTAAAAAAAAAAAACAGTTGCTACAATTGCTCAAGCACCTCTGACAGTGTTACGATGTGTCCCAAATGTCACTGTCACTTTGCTGACAGATTGGTATGCATGTTAATGTGTTAAAAAAAACCTAAACAAAGGAATGTAAATACAAAGAAACTAATATTAAATACTGTCATTATATGTATTATTCATATACAGATATACAGAATACAGTATTTGTTGTGTTCATGATCTTTTATATAACCCTGCTACACTGTTAATCCAACATGTGACCATATAAAAACATTTAATATACAAAATACCTACAAAATAAATTGTTTTACTGAGTTCAAGGAATGAACAGGTGCTGGTAATGCTATCAGAAACAGACTGAATCAATCTTACACGCTCTGTCCTTCTCATTTTTTTAGCGCCCTGTATTTTTAACCAGTGTGTATCTCAGCTGTCATTAGTCCATACCTAAATATGGGAACAGAAGTAACCAGAGTCGCTGCAGCACAAATGTCTTCTTAGAAATGTCACAGAGC